TCTGAATGGCGAAGATGAATGGTGGGAGGGTGTGGCGTTTCCTGAAAGGAAGAATGTAAATGCCTGTGACGGAACAGGGAGTACACACCTGGTCTTTGTCCCCCTCCCAGGACCAGAGCCCCCAAACACAGATTTCCTGGTGACAGGGCAATAGGAGCAGCTCTTGTTATGAACAAGCCCCGGCAGTCATGCATGGATTTATGCTCATGGAGTGGCTCTGGGTGGCCCATTTAGCTTCTTGCTGGGGCTGGTAGCCAGGAGCCGAGCACATGATGAGAGGGTTTGTGCTTCCAGCCCCACCCTTTGTGCCTGAACCACTGGGTAACCAGATGGCAAATATGAGGAAATTCTCTTTACAAAAGTGTATCGGCTCATAACTGAAGAAGGAATGACAAAGTTAGTATCAGTATTTTGCAATCGGTAATGGATCGAGCACTGATTATCATTTCTTTTTATCTGTGGATGTTTACATTTTTTATTCCCAAAATTGTTTTACAGGTAACTCTTTAGTTAATTACATATAAGTTCAAATTCCGATGGAAGCTCTAGGCAGGGATTTATCACGGCTGAATTAATAATCAGGTGGTACTCCTGACGTACTCTTGAGTCATTACTGAGAAATTGCACGCTAATTACCTGTCTATAAAACAGATAATGGGTACCTACCTCTTAGAGTTTCTCAACTTTTCTGCTTATATAACTATTAAAATGGTTTGAACTGAGCAATATCGCTCACAGAATGTGCTTTAGAGATGGCAGGGCTGTTGTAATGGGTGTCTGAGGGAAGATGCTAAGCACCCAGACCTCTGTTACCCTCATTCCCAGTTTGCAGAGGGCAAAGCTGCCTCTGTGTCCGGAGACACTCCTGCTGTTACTGATGTTTTTCTTTACTCGACGGTTGGTTGACTGATGCGTTCTGAGTGGCGTGGCCGAGAATGCTTCATGGTTTCCTAACAGTTGTAATGAGGAACCTCCTGCTGCCGTTGGCACTGTGACCGCAGGGGAGGGGGCGCCAGCTGTAGTTCCCGGCTGGCATTGCCTCCCTCTGTGGCGGAGCCGGGTGGGTCCTAGTTCTTCGTGTACGGAGTGTTTCTCTAACTGGTACATGGAGTTTTTTAAAGCCCAGTACTTTGGACTAACCAGGAGAAAAGCACAGTAAATGAAATAGTTTTAAAAGTGTTGAAACTGTAAAAACTTCTACTTGAGGCTACTAGAAGGTTCCTTTTCAGGCAGCAGTTTGTAGAGTCCTCTCGGTGGGACTGGTAGACACATGGAGGAGATTGGACTGCGGGGAACAGATGCCCGGGGTCCTCGCCAGATGAGCCTGTAGGCAGAGAGAGCGAGCAAATGCAGGGGGCGCAGACTTACACCTCTGGCTGGTTAAACACGCGGACCACTTCTGCAACCTCCGGACTCAGAAGACCTTCTGAATCAGATAATGGAGCGCCTGCAGGCGGTTCTGATCACACTTCACAACAAATAGACAGTGTGTGCTGAGAAAAAACAGGCTGAAAAGAGAGGAAAGAATGATTTAATAGCTGTTACGTGGAGCTTGGAGGAGAGCCCCAGAAGCGTGTACTGTCTTAATTAACGGCGATGGACTTGGTTCAAAGCATTTAGGTTAGGCTGTTTGTGTTAAAAGTTACCTCGGCGAGGCAGACCCTGTGGGGTCCTGGGGAGCATGGGGTTGTACTCAGCGCCACATGCCCACTGTGTCCGTGGGCCTGTCAGTGTGACTGTGATGGGGACGGAGCTGGACCAACTCCCTCAGCGTGCGGTAACGATCCAGTGAGACCATGCTGTATGCGGTTTGTACCGCAGATACAATTGATTACAGCACACCCTTACTTCTGTGCCTTTAAGAAAGAAGAATCTCTGCCAGTGAAAACCAACTTTTCAAGTATAAGATACACCTGAAAACTCAGGATGTTAAAATGCAGCGGACAAAGTGCATTTTGAAATAAAACACAGAGGCTTGAAAGTGCTTTGCTGTCAGGAGCCTCAGAAGTCACATTTGCTGCTGTTGTGTGAGCCGGGAGGAAAGGGTTCGGAGAGTGAGTGCCAGTGGGACACGCAGGCCGAGCTGGAGGAGGAGCAGGATGACCTTTGTGGGCCTTCTTCATTGGAAAGCTGCTCCCGCACCTCCCTTAGCTGAGGATTGTGCAGGGTCTGTAGTTGAGGAATTCTCTCTCTGGAGGGTGACTTCCTCCAGGTTGGCTTTTGAAAGTCAGCAAGCCAGCACTGGCGGTTCGATGAATGCACAGGTTTTCCTGTTTTAGATGATGTTGGTTTCCGTTTACTCTGTTAGCTGTAAGCGCAGAGGGAGCCCCACTGTAACAGCGTGGTTTCGGCGTTGCTTTCACAAACAGACCTTTGTGCTGAGAAGAAGCTTGGTGCTGTTTGCAGCTGGCTGCAGACCTCTCTCTCCACCGAAGTTCATGCTCGGGAATGTGTCTCGCTCACGCAGGCGCTGGGATTCATTTTCCTTCCTTCAGGTGTCAGTGTTTCTGCAGAAAAGCCGTGGCACCGTTCATGGCTTGTCTCCATGCCTTCCCCTCGGTGTATTTGAACACATAATGAGCTGCAGATGAGGATGATAAGGAAAAACATTTCTGACCTTATTGTGGTAATCATTTTGCAATACATAGGTATATCAAATCACATCGGTCACCTTCAACTGATATCATGTGATATCTCAGTTATAAGCTCAATAAAACTGGGGGAAATGTTTATTTCTTAGTAAAACACTGGCAGGTGAGGCAGCAGTTTGCTCTACTAAAGAAATAGCCCGTTGGATGAGATATTTTTCAATAACTTTTAAAAAAAAAAAATATATATATATTTTTATTGATTTTTTACAGAGAGGAAGAAAGAGGGGTAGAGAGTTAGAAACATTGATGAGAGAGAATCATCCATCAGCTGCCTCTTGCACACTCCCTACTGGGGATGTGCCCACAACCATGGTACGTGACCTTGACCGGAATCGAACCCGGGACCTTTCACTCCACAGGCTGACGCTCTATCCACTGAGCCAAACCAGTTTCGGCTCCAATAACTTTTTGTTGCCAGAGAGACGTAAAGATCTTTATGCTCTAGACGGGGCTTGCAGTTTCCATAAAGGGTCAGCAGTCCAATATGTCAGCCTATGGCTCCCGTGCAGTGTCTGTGGCACCTCGTTTTGTTTTATTTTGAAAACATTTAAGATGTAAAAACCACTCTACCTGCTCCTGCCCCTACCAGTGCTGTGCGGAGAGGCCACGGGCAGCTCTGCTCAGTGGACAGGCTCCTCGGAGAAGTGGCTGCTTCTAAAGTGGGGGTGGGCCCTAACCGGTTTGGCTCAGTGGATAGAGCGTCAGGCTGCGGACTCAAGGGTCCCAGGTTTGATTCCGGGCAAGGGCATGTACCTTGGTTGCGGGCACATCCCCGGTAGGGGGTGTGCAGGAGGCAGCTAATCGATGATTCTCTCTCATCGATCTTTCTAAATCCTTTTCCCTCTTCCTTCCTCTCTGTGAAAAATCAATAAAATATTAAAAAATAAATAAAGTGGGGTGGATAAGATACAAGAGGAGTTGGAGCTCCCTGTACTGCCAGCCCGTGAAGGAGATGCGGGAAACAGCAGGGGCAACAAAATAATGATAAAATAATGATAATGATAAACCTGAGCAACAAAATAATGATAATCCTGGATTATAACCCGGCATCTAAAAGAAATAACTGTGAGGTCATACTGTAGAAGTGAGGAGGGAGTAGGAAGAATAACAAATAATAAGTGTAGAAAGAGCGAGGGAAATAGAAAATCATCATCATTAGAACATCATAGTATTAATGGCTGCAGGCAAGACGCAATGACGATGAGAAGATTAGTGTGCAGAACTTTAAGGGGACACAGGATATTTGCCTAACCTCAAGGTGTCTCCCCCAAATTCTAATTACCGTGGAAGCTGTAACGTGTGTCCACGATTCTGTGATGTCCCTCCCTCCGGGAAGTGCAGCCTACCCCCTGTGAGGTGCACCTGGTTTCGACCTCCTTTTAAGGAGTCGAGTAGTAAAGGAGGAAGGGGTGGGTAACTTCCTGGTGGTGAAACCCGGCAGAAAGCACCTGCGTCAGGTGGTCAAGTCCACATGCCCAGGAACAAGTGGTGCCAACATCTTGTGCCCTTGCTCTGATGTGATGTGAAGGGCCGTTCACCCTGTGCCAGCCTAGATTCTTCTGGCAGATCTGTAACCTCAGTCCAGTCATGAGGCAACCACATTGAGGGGCATTCTACACAGTCACTGACCAGTACTCTCCCAAAGTGTCAAAGTTAGGAAACACAAAGACTGAGCAGCATCAGGGGCTGGAGAAGACTAAGGGGCATGAGGACTAAATGCAGTGTTGGTAACCTGGATTGACTCCGGAAAAGTAAGAGGATATTGATGGGAAAACTGGTAAAATCCAAATAAAGCCTGAAGTTCGGTTACTAGTGTTGTACCGATGTTACTGTCTTAGCTTTGATGCGTGTACCGTGGAGACATAGGATGTTAATGTTAGTGGAAGCTGGGGAAGCAGAGTGGGGACTCTGGATTGTCTCTGGAACTTTTCTGCAAACCTAAGGTTATTTCACAAGATTTTTTAAAACCCAGCTTGTTCTTTAATATATTTTATTGATTTTTTTTTTTTTATAGAGAGGAATTAGAAACATTGTTGAGAGAGAAACATCGATCAACTGCTTCCTGCACACCCCCTACTGGGGATGTGCCCAAAACCAAGGGACATGCCCTTGACCAGAATCAAACCTGGGGCCCTTCAGTCCACAGGCCTGCGCTCTATCCACTGAGCCAAACTGATTAGGGCAAAACCCTAGCTGCTTATCTTGGATTGGTTATCATCTTTATCTTGAACACTTAAGCATTTTATTAACCCTTAGCCCATTTATATTTGGTTGAAAATATATTGATTTGTTTATTAAAGTTGATTTTGGAATGTCCACGATGTTAATATTACTTACTTCTCTTTCCAGTGGAGTCACCTGCTGCCGAAGTTTCCTCATCCTTTGTGATCCTATCTGTGTGCAGTTTCATTATATTAATCGTGCTAATTGCAAATTGCGTATCCTGCTGTAAAGACCCAGAAATTGACTTTAAGGTGAGCACAGCTGGTGGGAGCATTCAGAATCCTCCTCTGGTACATTTATCAATAGAAGGGCTAAGTGTCACACTCCCTGGGAGCAGGGATGGGCAGACTCTTCTGTAAGAACCTACAGGAAATAAACTGGGCCATTGTAAACAGTAAATTCCACAGGCCACGTAGGGTCTTGTCACAATCACCTCTCAGCTCTGCCAGCGAAGTGCTGCATAGACAGCACAGAAACAGGTACCAATAAAACTTCATAAAAATGGTAGTTTGGGTTTGGCTTGTTAGCTGTAGTTTGCTCGCCCTGCCTTAGAGCATTATTGACAATTATAGGTTTTGAAAGGGAGGAATAAAGTGTGATGATTGTATTCACTTGCTGTAAGGCCTACAAGGAAGAACAGGCTGGTTTTGATTTTCCCCCCAAACTTTTCTGTGCTGGTGAGTCTGTGATTGTTGAGGCCAAGGGATCCCCTAGTGAGTGTGTCTTGTGTATGAGGAGAGCATCTTTCAGTTTACCTTGAACCCTACAACTGCCTATGTGGGGAGAAAAAAGAGGGCGTATCAATAACCTCATTCCACACAGTAGCTGTAAACACTGCCAATTGTAAATACTGGCTCGTGTAACCGCAGATGAGTAGAATGTTTCTGTTGATTTTTAGAGAGAGGGGAAGGGACAAGGAGAGAGAGAAACATGAACGAGCGAGAGAGAGAGAGAGAGAGAGAGAGAGAGAGAGAGAGAGAGAGAGAGAAACATCATTGATTGGCTGCCTCCTCATGCCCTCTACTGGGGATCGGCCCACAACCCGGGCATGTACCCTGACCTGGAATGGAACCATGATCTCTTCGTTGTTAGGTTGACGCTCAGGCACTGAGACACATCAGCTGGCCATCCTCTCTGAACCTTAGAATCATCTGCTGCCTAATGGTGTACCATGCTGTGGTAGAGTCTTGAGTAGCATTATTTCTAAGGTGGAAGCGATGGATAAAGTTACTTTCTATGGGAGAACCTTTAGGAATGTCTGGAAGGAAAGTTGACACAGCTCCTCTGTTTGAAGGTGCACCTCACTTACCCTGCTTCCCGCTTCCCATTAGCAATGATGCCCTAATGAATATGACAGCATAGATGACATAAGTGGAAGAATGCCCCCTCACGTGAGAACATAAATGCTACATCAGAGAGACCTGCCCTTTCAGCTTTTAGCTTTTTCTTTCAGCTTTTTCTTCCTTATGTGGAGGGCCGTGGGAGGTGGTAGAAAATGAAAAGAAGGTTGTTCTGTGAGGAGTGGAAAGCACTCTGTTAGTCCTGGTGGTGTAATGCTCTTTCATTCCTGAGGGAACGAATGACCTTGATAATCAGCTGTATCTGTGTTAACATGGACACCGAGGCAGACCCAGCTGGCTGATGGGAACAGGTAAGATAGCTTTCTGCTGAACAAAGTCACTTCAAAGGTTTCTGCAGCTCAGCTGGGGCAGCCTCGGTTTCCAAGTTGCTATCTCTAGAAAACCAGATGTTCTTAGAATGCCAACTGAACCAGTGTGCTGCTGTTTTATACCGTAATCTTGGTGTTCAGATCTCAGATTATTTTCTACCTCAATTAATTTTTTATTCTGCTCTTTTCAGATAAATAGGACTTGCCTAAACATAGCTTTTTTGAGTCTTTTAACTTCCTTGTTTTGATTGAAATTACATTGTAACCAGAAGTGCATATACAATTTTAAAATAAATTGTTTTGATTCAATATGCAAAGAGATCTGTGAAAGTGAATAATAAGAAAAAAGAGTAGCTTAGACTATAATAACTTAGAAGTAAAATTTTGGACTTAGAAGAGTATTTCCAATTTAAGTTCTGTGGTCATTATAGAAAACTAGAGGACCGATGCACGAAATTTGTGCTCTCGGTTAGGTCCTTCAGCCTGGCCTGCGCCCTCTTGCAGTCTGGGACCCCTTGAGGGATGTCTGACTGACGGCTTAGGGCCACTGTCCACTGAGAGTGGGCCTAAGCTGGCAGTCAGACATCCTTAGCACTGCAACGAAGGCAGGAGAGGCTCTCACGTCCACCGCTGAGCTCGCCAGCCATGACTGAGTGGTGCTCCCCCTGGGAATGCACTGACCACAGGAATGCTCCTGTGTTGAGCATCTGCCTTCAGGTGGTCATTGCACGTCATAGTGACCATGTTCTGAGATCAGACGAGATCGGGCGTGTTCAGGGTGGAATGGCTATAGAGTTCATGTTCTATTGATTCTGCTATTCGGAGTTGGAGAACACAATTACATATGCTTTTTACTTGAAATAACTGTGAATTGGGGGGGGGGGGGGTTTGGCCACATGTTCCAAATGAGTGAATAAATGTTCATATCTTAAATGTTAGCCAATGGTTTTAAGGATTTGCTCTCAAATTGACCTATATTCACTATAACATTGCTCTTCTTTTATATTAGGAATTTGAAGATAATTTTGATGATGAGATAGATTTCACACCACCAGCAGAAGATACTCCCTCTGTTCAGTCCCCAGCAGAAGTGTTCACACTTTCAGTACCAAATGTTTCACTGCCAGCTCCATCCCAGTTCCAGTCTTCTGGAGGTAAGACCTTCGTGCTTCCCTGAGTTATTTCTAAGAGGTGAGACCGGGAACCTTGCTGGGAATCGTAACATAATTGTACCGACTGTCCTCTGCGGGCTTATTTCTCTTCCTTCTGCTCCCTGCTGAGGTCGAATGGTCAAGCCCATTGCATTCTCCCAACAGCTGAGTCTTTTCCTTTGGACCCTGGGTCTGTTTTTTAGGAATAAACAGGCCTCCTCACTTCATTAGAATGGAACTCTCGTACAGAGCCTCTGCCTTGCTCTTCCCCCCCCCTTTTTTTTTGTTAATCCTCATCATAGGATGTTTTCCCATTGGTTTTTGAGAGTGGAAGAGAGGGGGAGAGACAAAGGGGGGTGGGGAGGAGAGAGAGAGAGAGAGAGACAGACAGACAGACAGACAGACAGACAGACAGACATCAATGTGAGAGAGACACATCCATTGTTTGCCTCCCGCACGCAGATCAAGCCTGCAAGCGAGGTAAGTGTCCTTGACCAGAACCGAGCCGAGGGCCGGGCTTCTATCCACTGACCCAGGGCTCTTCCCTCCTTTTCAGTAGGCACGCTTCTCTCCTAGCTCTCTGCCTGCTTGTGCTGAATGGACTCTGCGTCTTCGGGGTGCCCTGTGTTTGGGAGGAGGGGTGTATTTGGATTTGTTAATCAGATGGATTTTGCACCCTAAGATAGGGAGGGCCAGTCCCTGGGGTTGCCTGCTGCACCGTGAAACAGGACTGACTAACGGCCAGCGGGACGGTGACTAGAGGTGACAGTAGTGTAGCTGGGTCAGATAAAAACAGTACAAGGTATTGAAGAGTTAGAGGGGGATACTCAGTTACAAGTGTTGCCAGTTTTAAAATGTTTTGGCATTGTTAGTTTGAAAGAGATGTTTTACATATCTATTTCTCTCTTTAGCACAAGCATTGAATTTATGTTGGTGTTTGAACTTTATAAGTTGTATTTTTTAAATATGTTTTTATTGATATTAGAGAGAGAGGAAGGGAAGGGAGAGACAGATAGAAATGTCAATGATAAGAAAGAATTACTGATCAGCTGCCTCCTGCATGGCCCCCACTGGGGATCAACCTTGCAACCCAGTCATGTGTCCTTGACTGGGAATTGAACCACTGACCTCTTGGTTCATGGGTTGACGCTCCACCACTGAACTATACCAGCTAAGCTATAGGCTGTATATTTAATATTTAACTTATTTCATTTTAATACCTACTTTTAGTTTTTTTAAAAATATATATTTCATTGATTTTTTACAGAGAGGAAAGGAGAGGGATAGGGAGTTAGAAACATTGATGAGAGAGAAACATTGATCAGCTGCTTCCTGTACACCTCTTACTAGGGATGTGCCTGCAACCAAGTTACATGCCCTTGACTAAAATCGAACCTGGGACCTTTCAGTCGAACTGGGACCTTTCAGTTGAACCCAAGACCTTTCACTTAACTGCAATTGAACCCGGGACCTTTCAGTCTTCAGGCCAACTCTGTCCACTGAGCCAAATTGGTTAGGGCCCTATTTTTAGTTTTTAATGTTCTTTACTTTTTCCTACAGAAGGTTTGAAGTCTCAAGTTGCCCGCCACAGTCTAAATTATATACAGGAAATTGGAAATGGCTGGTTTGGAAAGGTAAAGTGTGGTTCACTTCTATTTTTTTTCCTCCTACTTTAGAATTTAAGGCTAATTAAGAATTGTATTGCATGACATTCCACATTCTCTCCAGCCTTTCAGTCCTGATTGAGTTTCCCATTACCCGGTGAAACTGCATGGGAATGTGAGCTTCAGCATTCCTGTGTGGTACGTTCTTCCAAAAAGTCCTTTATTTTTATTTTTTAAAAATATATTTTTATTGATTTCAGAGAGGAAGGGAGAGGGAAAGAGAGAAACTTCAATAATGAGAGAGAATCATTGATCGGTTGCCGTCTGCACTCCTGAGGAAGTTCAAGGGAGAAAGTGGAGACAGTCTTTAGACAAGTCTGTAGAGGAGGTTGACTCTAAAAGCAAGCAGAGAAATGGAGTAGGAGACTTTTGGAACCAGCCAAGATGGTAGACAAGTGGTGTCATTGCTGGACTCAGAGGACAAGTTGTACACCAGTTGGATTAGACTGTTGAAGTCAGTGAGCTGGAAATCAAAGGACTGGCAGAGAAGAAGTTAAAATTCAAGGTGTAGGACATACTATATTTATTAATTAGCTAGGTATAGATTCATGGGATTCTTTGCTGAGATGGGATCATAGGAAAATGATTATTGGAAGTGAGATCACAGAACTGAGAGGTTGTGGTTTTGAAGAACTTGTCCTTGCATCTATTGAACATTAAGAATGGTTAGCAGTGGGGGCGGGAGAGAAACAGCGAGCCAGGTTAGTGCAATAGCATACTGTTATTCTTTTTGAAATTGATATCTTATCGTTATTAGTCTTATTGGCACAAGTTGGCTCTTTGAAACAAAAATAAAGTAACTTTGTTAATTATCAGAATTTCTTGTTCTGTTCATATTTCTGCCCTTATATTCCTAATAAAGACATTAAATTCTGTTTTAGTATGTGCTCTCTCTTTCCAGGGCATTAAAATGAAGCTATTTTATAAAAAGATAAAATAACTTCTAAAAGACAGCCTTTAGTTTTGATCATTCTTGAATTAAATAAAAATTTTTACTTCATCATTTTTATTTTAGACTAGAGGCGTGGAGCATGGGATTCTTGCTCTGATGGGGGGGCATGGCCTGCGGGGATCAGCCCACTGTGGGAGATCACTCATCCGGGGCAGCTGAACGGTTATAGACCCTCCCTCTGAGTGGCTGCTCCCTGATCCAGCATCCTCCCTGGAGCTGGAGCACTCCCCTCTCCAGGAGTTCCTGTCGGGGCTGGGCCCAGGGACAATAGCACTGAGAGGCAGCAGAGTAGGCCTCAGTCCCACGGCAGCCACTAACCCGCCTCCCAGCCTCCAGGGTCAGCTTTGCAAGCCTGGTGGCGGCATTGCACAGCCTGCGGGCATTTGGAGGAGGCAGCAGGAAGTGAGGAGGAGGAGCCTGGGGCAATGATTGCAGCCCGGCTTCCTGTCAGTTGGCCCGGGGGTCACAGCAGGAGCAGATGCTCATAGCAGTCAGCCTTTCAGCACTCCCACTGTGGCAACCCACTGACCACCAGGGGGAAGCTCCTGCATTGAGCCGCTGCCCCTTGGTGGTCGTGCACATTATAGCGACTAGTCAACTGGTGGTTCTGGTTGTTCCCGTTCAGTCGCTGGGCTTTTATTATATAGGATACTAGAGGCCCGGTGCACAAAATTTGTGCAGGGGTTGGGGGGTGTCCCTCAGCCCAGCCTGCACCCTCTCCAATCTGGGACCCCCTCGAGGGATGTCCAACTGTTTGTTTAGGCCCGATCCTACCTGAATCGGGCCTAAACGGACAGTCGGACATCCCTCTCGCAATCCAGGACTGCTGGTTCCCAACTGCTTGCCTGCCTGTTTTCCTGATTGCCCCTAACTTCTTCTGCCTGCCAGCCTTATCACCCCTAACCATCCCCTGCCAGCCTGTTTGCTCCTAACTGCCCTCCTCTGTAGGCCTGGTCCCCCCCAGCTGCTCTCCCCTGCAGGCCTGGGTCCTTCCCATCTGCCCTTCCCTGCAGGCCCAGTCGCCCCCAACTTTCCTCCTATGCTGGTCTGGTCACCCCTAACTGCCCTCTCCTGCAGGCTTGATCGCTCCCAACTGCCCTCCCTCTGTCCTTAATCACCCACATCTGCCCTCCTTGCAGACCTAGTCCCTCCCAACTGCCCTCCCCTGCTGGCCATCTTGTGGCGGCTATCTTTGACTTCGTGGGGACAGCCATCTTGTGTGTTGGAGTGATGGTCAATTTGCATATTACTTATTAGATAGGATAGAGCAGGCGTCTTCAAACTACGGCCCGCGGGCCACATGTGGCCCGCAGAGGAGTCTGATCCGGCCCGCCAGGTTTTTTGGGCAGTGAGCGCAGTCGAGGTGTTACAGTAGGAATTAGTAGTTCATATAGTCCAGCCCTCCAGCTCTCGGAGGGACCGTGATCTGGCCCCCACTTTAAAAAGTTTGAGGACCCCTGGGATAGAGGATTGGTGCATGGGTAGGGACCAGGTGGTTTGCCCTGAGAGGTGTCCTGGATCAGAGTGGGGGTTCCCTTGGGACATGGGGTGGCCTGAGTGAGGGGCCTGTGGTGGTTTGTAGGCCAGCCACGCCCCCTGGCGACCCAAGCAGAGGCCCTGGTATCTGGGATTTATTTATCTTCTATAATTGTAACTTTTTTTTAAATAAATTTTTATTGTTCATATTATTACAAATGTTCCTTTCACCCCCACCCCCCATTGCTCTCCTCCACCAGGTTCCCACCCCACCCTCTGCCCTTTCCCCACCCCCCATTGTCCTCATCCATAGGTGCACAGTTTATGTTCAGTCTCTTCCCACATCCCCCTCTCCCCTTTTCCCCAAGAATCGTCAGTTCACTCCCCTTCCATACCTCTGATTCTATTATAATCAACAGTTAATATTGTTCATCAGATTTTTTTTTTTTAATTTCCTTGGTTTTTAGATTCACTTGTTGATAGTTACATATTTGTTGTTCATAATTTTTATCTTTATTTACTTTCTCTTCTGAAAGAACCCCCTTCAGCAATTCATATAATTCTGGTTTGGTGGTGATGAACTCCTTTAGCTTTTTTTTTATTAGTGAAGCTCTTTATCTGACCTTCGATTCTGAGTGATAGCTTTGCTGGGTAGGTTATCTTTGGCTGTAGGTTCTTACTATTTATCACCTTGAATATTTCTTGCCATTCCCATCTGGCCTGCATGGTTTCTATTGAGAAATCAGCTGACAATCATATAGGTACTCCTTTATAGGTAACTAACTGCTTTGCTCTTGCTGCTTTTAATATTCTCTCTGTCTTTTGCTCTTGGAATTTTAATTATGATTTGTCTTGGTGTGGTCCTCTTTGGATTCCTTTTGTTTGGAGTTCTGTGCGCTTCCTGGACTTGTAAGTCTAATTCTTTCACCAGGTGGGGGAAGTTTTCTGTCACTATTTCTTTCAGTATGTTTTCGATATCTTGCTCTCTCTCATCTTCTGGGACCCCCATAATTCTGATGTTGGTTCGCTTGAAGTTGTCCCATAGGTTTCTTACAGTATCTTCAATTTTCTTGATTCTCTTGCCTTCTAGCTTCTGTGGAGTGTCTTCTGGCTCTTTATGTTCCAAATTTTTTACTTGATTCTTGTGATTTTCCATTCTGTTTTTAGGACTCTGTATAATATTTTTTATTTCAGACAATGTATTCTTTATTTCTTGTTGATCCCTTATCATTTCTTGTTGATTCCTTATTAATTCTAGTTGATCCCTTTTCATATCCTCATAGGTCTTATTGACCTTTTCTAGGAAATTCTTTTTTTTTTTTTTTTTTCATGATTCATAGATTTATTAAACAATAATATATATAGTCATCATTGTAAGCTTTAATAGGAGATGTTATATTTTCGGTCCAATTTTCCTTCCTGGATAAGTTTTTCTTTCCTATCTCTGTCAGTTTTGAAAACATAATACCAGAAGAAGAGGGGCCCAACCCCCACCACAGCTCCGAGGAGGGAGTTCTTGGGAGTGGGTCTGAAATTGGGATAGACATTTGCTGTTCTTGCATAAGTCCAACGAGCCAAGGCAGGATCTTCGGTGAGCCCGTGGCGTTTGGGGTTGTACTGAAGCAGGTGCTCCCTCTTAAGCCGAGATCTTATGGCCAACCGCTCGGCTTGCGCCTTCCGGGTTTCCGGAGATACGTCATATTCAGCTGGGTCAAGCGTAGGGGGCAAAGTGGCCAGGCGCGATGGCTTGTACTTGGGGTGCGACATCTTGGGACCCTGGCGCGCGACTGCCTCTAGGAAATTCTTGAAAAACCTTATAAGTGTAGATTTGAACTCTATATCCAGTCGCTTTTTGTCCTCCATTTCTTTCCTTTGTGATCTATTTTGATGTCTGGGCATTTTTGCAGCTTCCCTGATGGGGCGGGGTTTCAGGGTGGAGCCTACAGCCTTGGCTTCTGTCAGCCCCGCCCTATGCGGCTCCTGAGTCTCAGGGTCCTTCAGTACTCGCTGCAAGCACCTCTGAGAGAAAGGTGCCCTCGATTTTCGCCTCCTACCAAACAGTCTATGCTCTCCCCCAATGAGCCCGGTATTGGGGTTCAGTTCAGTTGGAAGTGGAGTTGGAGGTGGCGTTCAGAGCAGTCCAGAGCTTTTGTCTCCTTCCCGCCAGGGCAATCCCGCGGCACAGCCAACCGTCCCTTCTCTGCGCGCAATGTGCGCGCCTCCAGGACCTCCTTTCGCCTCTCCCCTGGGGTTCCGCCTTACAGCCCAGCTCCCTCTGTTTGAGCCTGGGTCCCCAGGGTCTGGCCTAGAACTGGGGTTCAGAGCATTCGGAACTGGGGCCCAGCACAGTCGGAGTTTTATCTCCTTCCCGCTAGGGAACGCCAGCCAAGCACTCAGCCGCCCCGCCCTTCCTCTCGGGCTCCGTCCTCTCCGCACGCACTGCGTGTCTCCGTACCTTAGGCTTTTCCAGCTCCTCCGCTCTTCCTTCTGATTTTCTCCTTGCTTCTCGTTGTAGAATTTCCAGTCAGTCGACTTTCCTGTAGTTCTGGGTAATGTCCATTTTATATTTTAGTTGTATTTTATTGAAATTGTTGTGTGCGGCTGCGGCTAGGTGTTTACCTGTGCAGCCATCTTGGATTCTCCTCCTATAATTGTAACTTTGTAGCCTTGAGTGGAGCCAAGCCTCCTGCTTGCTCTGTAGCTGCAGCCATTTTTGTTGGGATTTATTTATCTTCTATAATTGAAACTTTGTAGCCTTGAATAGAGGCCTGGACCAGCCAGGGTGTGCGGAAAGCTTGGCTTCCTCTATTTCCCCAGGAAACCCAAGCCGCAGCCATCTTGGTTGGATTAATTTGCACACTCCTGATTGGCTGGTGGATGTGGCCTGTGGGTGTAGCTGGATAGTGGTTAATTTGCATATTACTTTTATTAGATAGTATTATATATTGGAATGCCTTAGTATTGTCCTATATTACATTTAATATTTCATATGTAGCTTGTTCTTATTTTCATTCTTAATTTTGTTTTCTACTAATTTCAGTGCTGTATTTCCCCGCCCCCCTGGATTTTGATTAAGGATTTGGTACAAGATAAGGGCCTGGAATAGTTGGAATGCCGAGGATTTTTAGCATTATAATGCAGTGATAATTTGTTTCTACATTGACTCTTTGTCAGTTTACTTTCTCTATGTGAAGGAGACAAAATAAAAACACTCATTTGAAGTGTTTTTGAGAAATACTTAAATTATGTTTGAATAGATTACTATTCTATAATACTATTAGAAATTTCCATGAAAGTATAATACATTTTTAAGTAAATAAAAAAGAGATACACATAAATTTATGAATACTGTAAATATCTAATGAATGGCTTAAAAATGAAGGTTTTATTTTACTTTTCCAAGCTTTTTGTGAAGTAGTATTTAAAATAATACAGTAGAAGGCTGTCTACTTGTTGCTGTATTCGTTTTCCTGTATTCCATTTTCTAATAAATGAGACATGCTTCTCTACCATTTTGTTGGAAGTGAAATGAAAAACTGTTCTTTGGTTTTAGGTCCTTCTCGGAGAGATTTACACAGGCACTAGTGTAGCAAGAGTCATAGTGAAGGAGTTAAAAGCAAGTGCAAGCCCAAAGGAACAAGACACTTTTTTGAAAAATGGAGAACCATACTAGTAAGTACTCCTTAATATATGTCCTGTAAATACAGTCTGTGGTCTTTTGAAAGTCACATGTTTAAAAGTACTTTGTCATTACATTGTAAACTATATAAATGTTGAATCATTATATTGTACACCTGAAACTAATGCGGTATACCAACTATACTTAAATTAAAAAAAACAACTCTAAAGGGAGCTATAGACTATGGGTGTCGAACTCAATTAGAGAAGGGGCCAAAATCTAAAATCCAGCCTAAATCGCGGGCCGAATGGTTTACTGAACAGTCATAAACTGTCATTGTGATGGAAACGCAGAGGAGTGCAGTGATGACAGCGCAGTGCGGGCCACATTGCAAGGCCTGGTGGGACGGATTTGGCCCGTGGGCCTTGTGTTTGACACATGTGCTATAGACCATGAGAGTTCCTAGTCAGGAAAAGGATAGCATTGTCATTCCAAAAGCGAGAGGTAGAGCATGATTGTCAAGGTTCTTGGCAACACATTGGTTTTGTGACCCTAAGGGAGAAGGAAAGATTGAGATTTGTCAGCCAGACTCAGGGGCCTCAAAGGAAACCGACGATGTCACAGGCACATCTGCTTGCCCTGCTCATTCCACTGCACATCATTTTGTGCACCTGTCATGGATAACAAAAATGAACTCATTGAGGAAACTTCTCTCCTTATCTCTGTATGGACAGAGTGCAAAACTTCATTCAGAGAATAATATTTTAAATATATCACTTAAAATTGTTAGACTTAAGAATATTTTATCTACCAAGTAAGCTTGCTTTTGAGTAAAACCAAAATATTTTTAAGGCCCCCAAAAACTAAACTTTGAAATTTCTGTTTGCAAAATACACAATTTAAATCAGATCCAGAGTCTCATAATGTAAGACTCAAAATGAAAATGTGTCACAGTAGGTGAGTGGTTATACAAACTGATACTCCATACCAGGGACTACTCAGCAATAAAAAGGAATCCTATATAATAAAAGGCTAATATGCAAATTGTCCCCTCGACTGAGAGTTAGACCAGAGGGCAGGGCTGCTGGCCAACTGCCTGAGGGTGCTCCCCCTGGCTGGCCCTGCTCCCACTCGCCCCTCCCACTCCAATCAGGGGTAGGGCCAGCCCTCCCACCCCCCCCCCCCGCCACTCCCCATCGCTCGCTAGGCCAAGGGACCCCACCCATGCACAAATTCGTTTGCTGGGCCTCTAGTAGTATATGAGGTAGATAGCCTAGGACTAGCTGGGCTATTTAGTATGTAGATTGAAATGCTTATTGATACAGGCAACAACTTGGATAATCTTGAGGGCATTAAGGTAAATGAAAAAGGTCCATCTTAAAAGTCCACATACTGTATGATTCCATATATATATATAATATTCTCAAAATGAGAACATTATAGAAATGGAAAACAGATTAGCTGTTGCCAGGGCTTAGGAGGAGGGGAAGTGGGGAGGCAGTGGGATGGCTTAAGTTGACCCAGGGTAACTTGGGGAAAGTCAGTGTGGTGACGTGCACTTCTGCATTCTGTTGAGGGGGTGGTTTGGTGGCTGTGGGAATCTACGTGTGTGGTGACAGCACACGGATGTACACACATGGGCACTGTGTCAGTGCCCTGGTTTCGGTACTGCACTGCGGTTGTCAGATGTAACCAGGGGAAACTGGGGGAAGGAAAGGTGGAAGCTCTGTATTCTACTTTTGCAACTTATTGTTAAGTCATAATTGCTTCAAAATGAAAAGCTTTTTAAAAGCTATTTTGACATATCTTTTTTTTTATAAAGTTTCTTTTGGACAAAATATTTTCCAAAAAAGAGTTTGTATATGCTGTGGAAATTTATGGAAATAGTTATAAGGTAGATAATCTAGGAGTAGCTGGGTTATTTAGTATATGGATTAAAATGCTTATGAACTTTATATATTTTCCCTGCCTTTTTGAAAGTGCTACCTCAAAATGATCATCTATAAATTAGAATTACTAAATTAGAGATTTTGAAAATGTTCACCCAATTACCTTTGAATGATTTAATTATTATATAACAATCAATGTGTTAATGAGCTCTTTTCTGGTTATCCTATTTAAATCATGATGAATGTTAAAATGTGGATTACTGTTTGAACAGTTTTACCCACGTGCTCTCTGATGAACAGTACTGTGACTATTTTTCCCCAGCGTTCTTCAGCATCCGAATGTTCTTCAGTGTGTGGGGCAGTGTGTAGAAGCAATTCCCTACCTTCTGGTGTTTGAGTTCTGTGACCTGGTAAGTTTTTAGCAGAAATTCAAGGCCAAGCATGCAAAAGGTTTGAGAGATAGAAACCCTGGATGAGGGGCAGCTTTCACTCTGCCCTCCATACTAACAACTTACTGAAGTATTCATTCGTTACCTTTGATAATAGTATTAGTGTTATTTTGTATTTCATCCCTATGCTAAGCTATTCTTAAGCATTTCTTATCTAATCATATTTCTCTCTCTCTTTTTTAATCCTCACCCAAGGATATTTTTTCTAATGGCCACTCATCTATTGATATGCACTTGGGCTGCTACCAAATCTTGGCTATTGTAAATAACAGTGCAGTGAAATAGAGATGCATACGTTCCTTTGAATTACTGTCTTAGGTTTCTTTGGTGTCTCTTAGGCAGCCACTTCTCATATTCCCTGAAGCCCCATTTCTAATTTTTTGAGGAAACTTCATGCTGTTTTCCACAGTGACTGCACCAGTCTGCATTCCCACCAACAGTGCCCGAGGGTTCCTTTTTCTCCACATCATTGCCAGCAATCATTTGTTGCTTATTGGTGATAGCAATTCTGGCAGGTTTTAATTTGCATTTCTGTGATGAGTAGTGAAGTTGAGCATCTTTTCATATCTGGTGGAGAAGTGTCCATTCAGGTCCTTTGTCCATTTTTTAATTGTATTATTTCTTTTTTTGATATTGAGTTATATAAGTTCTTTATGGATGTTGGATGTTAACCCCTTATCAGATATATCATTGGCAAATATGTTCTCCCATTCAGTGGGTTGGCTTACATTTTGTTGATGATTTCCTTTGCTGTGAAAAAAGTTTTTAGTTTAATATCGTCCTATTTATTTATTTTGTTCTCCTTGTCCGAGGAGATATACAGTATTAGAAAAAATACTGCTACAAGAAATGTCTTGAGATTTTTCTGCTTGTGTTTTCTAGGATTTTTATGGTTGAAACACGTATTTTATGTGACTCTCCTCAGCCATATTGGGAGAATGTTACTCTTGAAGGCTGAACATCTGGAAAGAGCTCCCATCTTTCCCTCCCTCCCAAGCTGGCATAGGCAGGGCAGAGCTAATGGCTATTTCAGTTAAGTCCACCATCTGTGATACATTGATCTACAATCCTATATAATAAAAGCCTAATTTGCAAATTGTCCCCTCTACCAGGAATTAGGCCAGGGGGCGGGGCCGGTGGCAGCAGCAGGTGACTTGGAAAAGGGAGGTGCCCCTGGCTGACAGCCGCTAAGGACCCTATCTGTGCACTGATTTTGTGCACTGAGCCTCTAGTAAATTTCTAAAACAGTATTTACTTCTCAAAAAATTAAAATGGAATCACCATGTGATCCAGCAATTTTACTTCTAGGAACATAGAATCGAAAGCAGGATCTTAAAGAGATTTCCGTGCACCCATTTCACAGCAGCATTATTCACAATAGCCGAGAGGTAGAAGCAACCCAGGCGTCCATCGGAGGTTGAATAATGAACATAATTGGTTATATCTGTACAGTGGGATATTATTCTAATGTGCTATGTCAGTGGTCGGCAAACTCATTAGTCACAGGGCCAAACATCAACAGGACAATGATGAACTTTCTTTTGAGAGTCAAATTTTTTAAACTTAAACTTCTAATGCCACTTCTTCAAAATAGACTTGGCCAGGCCGTGGTATTTTGTGGAAGAGCCACACTCAAGGGGCCAAAGAACCGCATGTGGCTCTTGGGCCACGGTTTGCCGACCACGGTGCTAAGTGAAATAAGCCAAGTCACAAAAAGACAAATACTGTATGATTCCACCCAGATGAGGTGTCTACAGCAGTCAGACTCAGAGACAGACAGTGGAAGGGTGTCTGCCACGGGCTGGGCGGAGGGCATGGGAGGTGGTACGTAATGGGTGTGGCGTCTCAGCTGGGGAAGGTGAAAAACGTCGTGTTGGTTGGATAGTGTGATGGCAGTTGCACACGGTGTAAATGTATGTGATACCCTGAACTCTGCACTCATGCATCTTACCACCATTCTTAAAACATGGATAATTGCCTACTATTATTTAAGTGCTATACTCTGTGTTACCTATTCTAGGAGGAGGCAAGAAATTCCCAGATTGCCTTGGGAAATCTGTCAGAGCTTGGAATGGCTGGTCAAAGAAAGGCCTTTAATCCAGGATCCGGCCAGTGTGCCCCCTAGTGAGAGGTCACATTTGTCTCCCGGGCCGTTCTGTACTCAGCACCGCGTGGCCCTAGTCACCTCCACAAGCTCTCCTGCAGCAGGGACCAGGCTCTGGGCTCGGTGCAGAGGCTCCGAGTCAGGGCGGTCAGGTGGGGTCAGCCCGGGGAGTGGAGAGGCTGCCTGGGCGGAGGGGCCCAGGAGCCGGCCGCGGCAGTGAAAGGAGCCACTATCTGCCGTGGCCTTAGTAGGTCAGGAGCTCCTGGAGGAGCCTGCTGGTCGTCACCGAGCACTGGTCATGCTCAGTGATAACATCTCTTAAGCAGAAAGGAGAGAATAGTTTTGCCCTTACTTAGTTCCTTGTAAGATAAAATTACCAGCCTGTTTTTCAAAAAAACTTTATCTTAGAGTTTTATGAAAGAAAATGAAAACACTTGTGAGTGAGTTTGGCAGCTGGACCGCAGCCTCTGATGTGTGATGCTGGCGGTGCGGTGTTTGTGAAGGAGCCCGCACTGCGGGGCGTTGGCTGTGACTTGTTGCCATGGGAAGTACACAATGCCACCACGTGAGCAGGAGGCAAGGAGATTGCTTTTTGGGTAAGGATCACTCATTCAACAAAAATGTATCAAGAGTTGGGCAGTGCCCTGGGGACACAGAGATGAGTCACCTCCCCTTCCCTCCCCAACTCCCCCCCCCCCATCTCCACATCCCCACATCCCTGCCTTTTCTGCGTATAGAGCCAGGCAGGCCCGCTTCAGCTGCTCATTCTGACACCTGTGTCTCCTTGAAAAGTTACTGAACTCCTAAGCCTTAGTGTGGACATCTGTGAAGCGGGGATAATGCTGCCTGCCTCACAGGCTTCTCCACCATTACTAAGATATGAACGGCAATTGCTGGGCTTATAGCATGTGCTCAGGAAAAGGTAGGGTTGTGTGTGTTTTTCATTTTTAGTTACTTAACTCCACTTACCATAATCATTGAGTAAAGATCTGAGTAGTGTGTGTAGAAGAAATCAAACTAGAGTCATTGGGGAGGGCGTGGCCAAGGAAGTGCGGTTGATCGGAGTGTGGAAGAGCGAGTGGATTGACTTCCTTGGCCCAAAAGGACATCAGGAGCACAGGAGCCTGCCCAGCAGTGCGGGGGAGCAGAGATGCTCCCGTGGGTGCAGAGTCTGGGCTGCGGGCGAGGAGAGCAGGCGGGCATGTGCTGGGAAGATCAGTTGGATGAAAAGCAGTGACACCACTGGGGAGACCAGAGTGCAAGTTGAGGTGACAGAAGGGCGTGGTTACACTTGGCTCGTGTCTTCATCTCTCTCCCTTCCCCAGGCCTGGCTACTGCCGTGGGCCCGTGGAGCTGGCTCTTTGCTGGCCGCTGTCTTGACTGCTTGTGTCCAGGCCGCTCTGCTCTCCTGACGCCTGCTTCACTCCGCCCGGTGTGCTGAGGCTGCTGACTCTGTAGCCGGCTCTGTGTCTACCCTCATGTCACATGGCTCACTGTGGGGGCACTGCGGTGCACACCTGGAGTTATTAATGTGTCAGGTGAACACATGGGGAAGCTGTCTCTTTAGAAATTGGATGCCACTAGAACATGTAAATCACACGCGTGGCTGGCACATGTTTCAGTTGCGCAGCTCTGCTCCATCTTGTTTTTGGACAAGTACAGTCTGAGGTTCAGGTGTACTCTGAGTTTCAGAGCAGTCTACACTCCTTGAAGTAAAATCTGTTGCATTTCCCACTTAACAAAGATAAAACTTTCAAACAGAATCAGTTAGATTTCACTTAAAGTAAATACTTTCCATATTGCCTCTCTTTGGCTAGCGTGAATGTGCAGAGTAATGAAGTAATAAATATTAAGCCCAATAAAATGCTGAGACTAGAGATTTTCTCCTAAATTCATTATTATATTGTTAAATTGAAATATGATGGATTGCTTTGTGGAAAATTATTGTTTCAATTTTAATTTGGGAGAACATCTTTTAGAACTTCTCAGGACGTTTTTCTTTCCCCTCACTCATTAAGCAGTGATATCCACATTAAACAGTGACGTCCCTCGATGTCCACGGAGTTGGTACCAGAATCTGCCCCGATACCAAAATCCACAGGTGCTCAAGACCCTTGTGTATAACGGTGTCGTATTTGCCTGTAATCCGTGCACATCCCCATGTATACTTTTTTATTTTTAATCCTCCCCTGCTGATATGTTTATTAACTTCAGAGAGGGAGGGAGGGAGGGAGAGAGAGAAACACCGATAGGTTGCCTCCTGTATGTGCCCATGCCAGGGATTGAACCTGCAACCTAGGTATGTGCCGTGACGGGGAATTGGACCCACGGCTGTTTTAGTATCAGGGGTGACGCTGCCCCCGCCATCTGGCTGGGCCCTCTGTGTACTTTGTCTTCTCTAGATTACTTAGACTACCTACTCCAATGTCAGTGCTATGTGAATAGTGTATACTGTGTGGTAACAAATACTATATAAATAGTATATACTGTGTGGTAACCAAAAAACCTACGTATTTCGCTCAGATGCAATCATTGTGGGTCCACCTATTAGTACATATCAGCAACAATGTAACTTTCAAGTATAGTATTTTTGATCTGTGTCTGATTGAATCTACAGGTGGGGAACCTGTGGCTACAGAGGAAGGGCTGTATTTGCCAAACTCACACTGTTGTAGATTCTGGGGACACAGAGTCAGACAGAGCCCAGCCCTGGGTGCCTTATTTCCGGTGGGAAGGACAGACAAGCAGACAAAGTGCCGGTTAGGACTGGGTGCTCAGGGTGGAGGCAGGAGGTTTTGGTCTGATCCGCGGGGAAAGTGGTGCCACTTCTGAAAAAGAACAGATTGGTGGAATTTCACACAGGACATTGAGGTTTGAGGTGTCTCTTAGGTCCCAGGAAAGGGTATCAAGTCAGCACTTGGACAAATGGGCTTAGGGCTCAGGAGATGGAGAGGTTTGGGGCCAGGAAACGTATTTGAGAGATTTATTTACAAGCCCCGGGGTGGGTAGAATCACCAGGAATGCGTGTCACAGTGATGAGGACCAAGGACTGAGCCTGGGTGTGGCAGCACTTACAGAGCAGTGAGAGGGGAGGATCCAGGAAAGGGCGAGAAAGGAGAGGCCAGAGGGATAGGGAGAAAGCCGGGAGGCTGTGGGGAAAGGGAATGGGCCATCCCTTGGTTATGCTGGTGCGACTTGGGCCAGCGAGCAGCATGTGGCAGAGGCGGTCAGCCACATATAGCTGAGCGTGCGGGGGGGGGGGCGGATGAGGGGCAGTAGAGTTGGGGAGTGAAGGATTAAGAGAGAGTGGGAGGCCAGGAGGAAGAATAGCCAGACAGACCAGGCTTGTGAGGGTTATCTGGGAAGAGAGGAGGGAACTGGGATGGCAGCGGGAGAGGACTGGGGGCCAAGAAGACGTGTTTGGTTCTTCGTTGGATTCACCTGAGAGGCATTTGAACATTAGAGTGGCAGAAGGGACGGGCTCACCAAGAGGTTGAGCTTGGGAAGGCAACCAGGTGACTAATCTCTATATTTAAAAGCCTAAGCAGCCGGCCGACCAGCCAGTTATGGTGTTCACTGACCACTAGGGGGCAGGTGCTCAATGCAGGAGCTGCCAGGTGACAGCAACTTTGCCGAGTGCCCTCTTGCACTCTTGCACTCTGGGGCCCCTCAGGGGATGTCAGACTGCTGGTTTCAGCCCAATCCCTGCAGGCCAGGCCAAGAGATCTCACAGTGCACGAATCCGTGCACCGGGCCTCTAGTGCATAATAACTGATGCAGGTGTGGAGGCGCATAAGGGTGGTTGGAGCCTGGGGTGGGGGGAGGAGAATAGCGGGGGTGGGGGGGTTTCAAGAGGCAGTGAGGAAAAGAGTTGTGCAGACAGGGACAGGGTCCCTGGGGCTACAGCTGTGATGAGAGTCAGCAATGCTCAGTATGTGGCTATGTAGGCTGTTCATTCATCCTTTCACACAGTTTTGTTTAAAAATTATAACTCCCTCTCCCTCCACCACCACCAAATCATTCTATGAAACATAAATAACTAAATTTTCAGTTATAAACCCATTTAATTGTTTGGTGTTTGCATTGTATAGAAATTAATTGTTCTCAGTATCCCGTCAAAAACTGGATAAAACCCTCTTGGCAGTTTGTGTTGGAATTTTTAAAAAAATATATATTTTATTGATTTTGTACAGAGAGGAAGGGAGAGAGATAGAAAGTTAGAAACATCAATGAGAGAGAGTCATCGATCAGCTGCCTTTTGCACACCCCCTACTGGGGATATGCCCACAACCAAGGTACATGCCCTTAACCGGAATCGAACCCAGGACCCTTCAGTCCCCAAGCCGATGCTCTATCCATTGAGCCAAACCGGTTTCGGCTGTGTTGGAATTTAATCCATTTAAAGGTTGATTATTCACTGAATGACTCAAGAAGTCATTCCCATTTGTTCTGTTTTCTGAGTTCTTTGTTCATATAGCACTCTGCTGCCATCTAGTGTCATAAATTTTTCTTTTTGATTTTTTTGGGGGATTTTGGGGAGGAGCAGAGACATTTTAAAAACTTGGACAAAGGGCTGAAACCAATTTGGCTCAATGGATAGAGCATCGGCTTGGGGACTGAGGGGTCCTGGGTTCGATTCCGGTCAAGGGCATGTACCTTGGTTGCGGGCATATCCCCAGTGGGGGGTGTGCAAGAGGCAGCTGATCAATGACTCTCATCGATGTTTCTAACTCTCTCTCTCCCTTCCTTTCTGTACAAAATCAATAAAATATATCTAAAAAAAAAAAAACCTTGGATAAAGGAAACTATTTTTTGGAATACATTGCTGTTTTTAATTATTGGGCATTTAAAAAAAACATATATATATATATATATATATATATATATTTTATATAAAATTTATTTCAGAGAGGATGGGAGAAGATAGAGAAATATCAGTGATGAGAGAGAATTATTGATCGGCTGCCTCCTGCACCCCCCCCACTGGGGATCGAGTCTGCAACCTGAGCATGGTCCTTGTATGGAATCGAACACGGGACACTTCTGTCCCCAAGCTGAACTGAGCCAAACTGAGTGCATTGAGCCAAACTGGCTTGGGCAGTGTTGGGAATTTTTAATAGCAAACCAAAGCAGTAATCTGACTACTCACTAAACATCGTTAAAACATAAATAAAACAAACTGGATATCGAAAAACAGCTTTGCTTTGGATAGAATGGGTCAGTTTTTAGTACTTACATAATAGGAACATTTTAATTATATAATTAAAGGTTTTATTCCAATTTTTATTTTAAATGGGGAGCTCTTAAGGATCCTTCTAGACCATAGATCTACCCCTGGGTCCTGTCAGTCATCACAGATCTCACCCACAGAGACTGCTCAGGCTCCTTGTAATCGCTGGTGTGAGCTCCTCGCCCCGGTAGAGACCGTGGGGAGAGGCTCTCGGCTTTTGCCCCGCTAGAAGCACTAGGAGTGTTGGCGTTAGAGGCAGAAGCTCCTGTTGGTTCTATTTGTCTTTAGTGAAATCTGGAGCGTGGCATCGGCTGTGGAGAGAAGGTGTTTAGGAACAGTGAGTGGGACTGTATTTCACTGCGCCCACTCTGCCCTTTCTCTGCCTTCGTGGCCAGAGAGAGTCTTTTGCGAAGTGGTCCTGGTTTGCCGGTAACTTCTGTTTGTTTTGAGAATTAGCCAGACACAGCGTGTAATGCTACCTGGTTTGGGTAATTTTCACCGCAGATGGCACTTTTGGAAAGAGGTTAGACAAATGAGTTTAAGTTGCCATTTCATTGGTAATATAAATAAATTGTTTGTTTTCATACTTAGTTTCCATGTGGTCTACCTTATAAAAATCCCATAGCCTGTAGGCCTGGACTTTTTTGCTGGAATTTTTCTGGGTTAACTTATTGTCATCCAAATCTGCCTTTATTCCAACCACTCCATGCTGAGGAGAGCGTAGCATAATTAAATAAAGCTTTAATTTGGAATTAAACCTCATCAATAAATATTTAATTGTATGGTAAAGAGAACGCAGAATACTTATTTCCTCCTAAGTGAATTCCCGAAAGCACGCAGCCTGGCATTGAAGTGAATTAGTCATGAAATGAAGCCGGGAGTGACATGGGAGCCAGCGGCGTCCCGGGCTCCGCGTTCACCTGAACGTGTAGTGCGTGCCGCGTGTGAGTGTGCAGCTTCCTGCCCGTGCTGCTGTCCTTCACATAGGCTGCTCAGCTTCCTGACGTTCTCCCTCACAGTGGTCTTTGCACAACACGGGGCCTTGGGGAAGCTGGCAGACACCTGAGGCAGTGGGTCCCAGTACTGCACATACTGCCCTTTCCCCCCGTTCCCGTTGTTCTGTCCTTCCGCCTTGTTCCTGGGTGCCCGGGCAGGAGCCTTCACGATGGGGTGCTGTCTGACCCTGTGTCTCCAAGCCTCCCACAGGCAGTGCTAGCGGCACTGTCTCTTACTCTCTCCTCATCTGTTCCCTGGCAGTTTCTGTAAGTCGTGCACCCTGCACAGTTCCCTCTCTCACTGTCCTGTCTCCGGGGTTTCTAGAACAAAGGTAAGCTGGCCTTTAATTGGAATGCCCCAAAGGTGACGGGTGTTTTCTATTCCTTTGAAATAAATACTTAGTTGAAGTATTTTGTCATTTGAAACTGGTTCAGTCTGTGATGCTTTATTAAGCTAACTCTAAGTAATTTCTAATAAATAACCTTAGTAACTAATGTCCATTAAGCACATGTTTAGCTGCCTGTTTGTTGTCTGCTTGTGAAAGCAAACTGCATGGTCTTTGCAGGGCGACCTGAAGGCGTACCTGCGCAGCGAGCAGGAGCACGTTCGGGGCGACGCGCAGACCATGCTGCTGCAGCGGATGGCGTGCGAGATCGCCGCGGGGCTGGCGGCCATGCACAAGCTGCACCTACTGCACAGGTGGGTCTGCCGGGGGCGGCCGTGCAGGTGGTCCCGGGACAGCTGCAGAGTCCACTCTGGCTTAAATCGTACAGGCTGTCCCGTGCTTCCCAGAGTTCCAATAAGTTGGCTTCGTTTAGATCAGTACCCGAGGACACAGTGTCGTCGTGAGCCTGCGCTCTAGAAGTTATCCCCAAATGTCACAGACTGTACGGAGTTATCCATTCTCTGCGTCTGCCCCCGGCGTCCCCCGTGCCCTTGTCATGTCCCCTTAGGTCTGGTTCCACCTGCTCGGTCTCACGGTGCGTCCCACGTCACTTCCCTGGGGAGGCTGGGAGGCCCACTGGGCTCCCATCCTCTTTTCACGACACGTCTGAGCACTGCTTTCTGGCCAGGCTCTGAGAGGCCTGCGGTGGGGGTGGGAGTCAGGGGTTGTGTGAGCAGCCAGCGGTGGGTAAAACCTTTCTGTCAAAACTTCCCGGTTCTACTCCCACCACTGCAGCTCCTGGGAACGCACTTTGTTCAGATCATTGATCTAAATTTGTCATTAAAACAACCAAGGGTTTGAGTCCCACCTGATCTGGTGGCTCTGTGAACCCAGAGGGAGAGCTCTGCTCATGATCTAGCCTTCGTGCTCCGATGTTTAAAATCATTTCCTGGGTCTCCTGGGAACCAGGCAGCGTCTCTAGTTGAATTGAATTAAAACATTCAACTCCTAATAATCTAAAGACCTAAAAAAGGACACCTGTGTATTGATGTGGAGGATTGTCATGAAACATTATGTTTTTTAAAAGGCAGGTTGGCTCGGCTGGTGTGGCTTAGTGGTTGAGTGTCAACCCAGGAACCAAGAGGTCACAGGTTCGATTCCCTGTCAGGACACATGCCTGGGTTTTGGGCTCAATCCCCAGGAGGGGGCATGCAGGAGGCGGCCATTCGATGATGTTCTTCTCTCTCATTGATGTTTCTATCTCTCCCTCTCCCTTCTTCTCTCTAAAAAACAATAAAACATTTTTTTTCAAAAGGAAGGTTAGGTGTTTATAGAATGACAATTTTTTAAAGATTGTATTGATTTGACAGAGGAGGAGGAAGGGAGAGGGAGATAGAGAAACATGGATCAGCTGCCCCCTGCACGCCCTCTACTGGGGATCATGCCCACCCTCTGGCATGTGCCCTGAATGAGAATCAAACCGGCCAGGGTGGAAGAACATTTTTAAAGGTGGAATTCAGAATATTTACTGGCTGACTCAGGGCCAGGTTTTCTGTGCTGGCTGAGAATAGAATGATCTGCATGTCCAGCTGGGAGCTGTGGGCTGCAGTGAGAAGCACCCAGTAAACGTTCCTCTTGCCGTCCTTTAAGGAGAGAGCCAGGCCTGGCGTCAGCAGAGTGCGTGTTTGCAGTCGAGCACAGGTTATTCGTGACTTTCAGGAACTTGCGGTCATTTTGCTTGCCATTTGCTACCAGGAATTCAGCTTACTCAGGAAAGCACGGAGTAAGTGGGGTGTGGTTGGTTCTGGAAAACGGCTGCAGGGGCACCGAGCTGTTCATGAGAGCCGCCCCTTGCAGGCGGGTAACTCCAGATCCCGTGGGAGTTGAGGACCAGTAGGGTGGGGACTCCTTGCACCGGGAGCTCCCAGTTCTGGCTGTCAGCCCCCTCTCGGGCGGTGAGGCGTGTGCAGTCACTGACACGAGGCGACACAGGCGCTGCCAAGGGGAGCGAGCCAGAGCCCGCGGGAGCCGTTCGGAGCCGGCTGGCTGGCGGCCTCCCCACGGGACCCGTTGTTCAGCTCGGAGGAAGAATACCCGGCTGTTTGTGCTTCCTGCCAGAGCGGCATTGACGTCAGGAGTCCACGCCGCTGTAGAGAAGCTGCACCTTGGGTTTCTCTCACCTTGGGCTCTGGGCTTCAGAGAGTGTTTACTTTTTACCAGTTTCTGAACCCGATTATCTCATTGTCACCTGGAGTCTGGTAGCACTTCCCAGTTCCTGTGTGTGTGGTTTTAGCCTTAGGATGACCAGCCCAGCAGGTCAGCCTGTTGTTTGGGAGGCGCTGAGGCTCTGATGTGTGAGCGACTTGCCCAGAGTTCCCAGTTCCCAGCGTGGAGCAGAGACCAGTGCCCAGGTCTGGCAGCGGGCACTGGGTGCTGGGAGCGGAGGGAGAGAGCAGTTTAGCAGAAATTCCCCGTCAGATCACTGTCTTCTCCCCCTGAGCCCTGGCTCTGTTCGGGGAGGCGTCCCTCTCCCCCTGAGACTGCCAGTTGAACTGGATTAGAGGTTGCAGTGCCATTTACAGTGTGCACATGCCTTTTGCACATCATGTCCCATCTTTCAGCTGACCTTCACACTGGAAATCTGAAGGCCTGCAGAGACCACGTGTAAGGAGAGGAGGGAGGAAGCGGGCCGTGCAGGAATGGCTTGAATGGCCTGAGCAGAAAGTGTCCGGAGCTCCAAAGGGGCTGCAGGCAGGCCCAGGCTGAGAGGGCACACACGCCCCTGTCTGGCGCCCAGCTTTTACCTCTTGTCTCGGAGGGCGGCATGGGAGGCTGAGAAGGGTCTGTTTATGGAAACCCGGAGACGCTCACCGGAGGTCTCAGCAGCAGGACTCTGTTGGCAGACCTGCGCGCTGTCCAGTGGCAGCTGCCAGCGCAGTGGGCGGAGCTGCCCGTAAAGCACTCCTGTTCCTGCCCTCACAGGGCAGACTCCTGCCCCTCCGTCCCTTCCCCTCTGCCCAAACGGGCCGATTCTGTTCTCAGATCGGACGTTTCTCTTGTTTGTAGCAATGGAGTTGGGGGTGGTGGCGGGGGGCCCAGGTTTCTCCCAGACAGGTACATCCACAGGTCTGAAGGCTTCTGGATGGAATGCCGAAAATCATTTACCGTGTGTGAACAGAGCGTGTGTAGAGAGGAATTTCGTGTAACTTAGTTATTTGGGAGATGAGTTGGAAATTCAGATCATCACATGTTTGCTAAGAACCAGCCATCCGCACCGCGCAGTGCTCTGGCTGTTAGCGCAGTGCCGTGGGAGTGGCTGACGCTGAGAAGGTGAGATGCGCTGTCCTGTCAGCTCTGGGCCCCAGCAAAGGCTCTCACTCCTCTGTGCTCTGTCAGTGAGGAAAACACAGTGTCCACCTCAGAGGCTTGATATGAAGATCAAATGAGCTAACGGCACCTGTAACGTGCTTAGAGAACCGAGTGGTGTGAAGTAAGTGCTTTGTAAACATTAGCCATTAGCATGAATTGCATCTTTTATAAAGCAAGTTGCCATTGAATTATAGCAGTGTTAGTTATTGCTGTTGTCATTCTCATTATTATATTTCAGATGTGAGCTTTGGAAATTAAAACCTTTGAAAGTAAGAATTTAAGAGTTAGCTTATGTGTTTGGTCTTCTATCATATAAAGACAAACATTTAAAATTTTGGGTTGTAGAATTTCAGTTTTTGATAACTTTTATTCATGATTTAAAACTATAAATTCATTTTTAATTTAGTGGCTTTTTAAAATTTTTTTATGTGTATGCCAGTTGATGATTTAAAAAAAAATTCCAAGGACTAAAGCCAAAATAAAATAAATTTAAGCCCTGGCCGGCTTGGCTAGGTGGATAGAGCGTCGGCCTGCGGACTGAGGGGTCCCGGGTTTGATTCCGGCCAAGGGCACATGCCTGTATTGTGACCTGATCCCCAGTGGGAGGTATGCAGGAGGCATCTGACTGATGATTCTCTCTCATCATTGATGCTTCTCTCTCTCTCTCCTTCTCCCTTTCTCTCTGAAATCAATAAAGAAATATACTTTTAAAAAGAAATTTAATCTGTTGTCTATATAGGAAGTTCCTTTAAGAAAAGAATTTTTTTTTTTAAATTATGTGCTTTTGAAAATCAGTTTGTTCTTAAGTAAATGATATAAATTGTTTTAAGTAACTCTTGCAAATGCACTCTTTAGCTCCCTGGTGGAGAGGAGGAGTTTGGAGGAGATGAGAGTAATTTGAAAAGGGCTTCCTTGTAATGCCTGCACATCATTGGAAAGGAGGTTAAAACCAACAGTTTTAATCATGTAAGCGGGGGTGGGAGGCTTGAAGCTATAACTTTATTAATCTTTACTAGCCTATTACTGAAGTAATACAGGTTATTGTAAAAAATATTCGGACAATTTAGACAGTGGTATTTTAGAGTTCTTTCTTGACCACTTTGACTAGGAAAGGACCCACACACCTGGTGTTAATGCAGCACAAGGTACCGCTGTGTTCAGTATTTGACCTTAGCCGTCACAGCTAGTTGCAAAAATATCTGATCATCTCCACTATTTAAGTCACTAATAAGATATGTAATCCATTTTCTATAAAAAAAATTTTAAATATAAATTATTAAGTAGGGAGCTCAAAATACCCTCTGATTCCCATAGAAAGCCTTTTTCCATAGCCATGTCCTGTCACGCTTTCTGGTCACGGCTTTTCCTTGTTCTTGAGTTCACTTTCTCTCTCTGTTTTCAGCGACTTGGCCCTTCGGAATTGTTTTCTCACCTCGGACCTCAATGTGAAAGTGGGAGACTACGGCATAGGATTCAGCAGGTACAAGGTAAGCCAGAGTTCGCAGGGTCTCGCCTTCGTTGTTAATCTGGTTTAATGTTTCATGCCGCTCTTTTTCTGAGAGGGGGTAAGGATCTTGTTCAGGTTGCCCTCTGGAGAGAGGGTGGCTCAGCCATTTAAGTGGGAGTGTTGGCGTCTGACGGTGGCTTTTCTAACCCAGTGACTGTACCGGAGGTTGGCTCTCAGCGTCCCTGCTGTTTTGTTTAAAAAGCCGTGCCCTGGGTGCAATTGATACAGTTTGCTGCTGTATAATGTTAGTATGCACTTGGGCAATATAGTTATTGCCATGGGTGTAATAAAATACACATGTCACATAACTATTTCTCCCTTCTGTGTTCAGTAACATTTTGGATCGAATTCAGTAAGCTTGGGGTTTAGGTTTTGAAGCTGTCATAAATGTATCCCCAAAGAGGGGCAGAGGTGGATGAGGTTTTATCTGTGTGCGTGCGCCGGAGGAAGGAGGCGGCTCTGTGTTGGGCAGAGAAGGCAGCTGTCCGCCCTGCGCCGCCGGGAGACCTTGGCCCAGCCACCGGCCTCCCTTTCTAAGCAGCAGCACGCAGATACACCTGTGCTGTGTTATGGGCTTCGTGTAGCTCTCGGGACTTTTTAAACAAAAATATTTTGCAAATATAAGTTGGCCATTTGGTGCTGTGGTAGCTCTAGTGTCTTGAGCACTTACTGTAAGTAGCGGGCACTCTGAGGTGCTGCCTGCACCATCCATTTAATCCTCACCATGAGGAGAGGGAGGGCGGGCCTCACCCCCCTTCCTGGGGAGGGAAGAGGCTGGCACGTGTTTCCTGCCTGCAGTCACCGAGCTGGTGAAGGGTGAACGTGGACTTGAAGCCCAGCCTGACCCTCTGAAGCCTGCGCCCTACTAACTGGCACACTCCCCTGTTCGGGCAGAGCGCCCAGCTCTGGCTCTGGGCATCACAGACACGTCCCTTCCTTTTGTGCTGAGACCAGCTCATGAAGCCCTCCCCTGCCTCCGCCCAGAAAGTCTCTCTCTGCCCACTTGCTTTTGGGTTAAGTATTGTTTCCTGAGAATGATCTGGAATGAAATTACTGAGCTCATTAAAAGTATGAGAGAATTCGCCAACGCCGGTTTGGCTCAGTGGTTGAGCGTCGGTCTGCGGACTGAAAGGTCCCAGGTTCGATTCCGGTCAGGGGCATGTACATTGGTTGCGGGTACATCCCCCCGGTGGGGGGTGTGCAAGAGGCAGCTGGTCGATGTTTCTCTCTCATCGGCATTTCTAACTCTCTATCCCTCTCTTCCTCTCTGTAAAAAATCAATAAACTATATTTAAAAAAGTATGAGAGAATTCAAAATTCTGTGTGCTTTCTAACAAAACAGGAGGATTATATTGAAGCAGATGATAAAAAAGTTTTCCCTCTGCGATGGACTGCTCCAGAGTTAGTAACCAGCTTTCAAGACAGACTGCTAACTGCAGACCAAACCAAGTACAGTAACATCTGGTATGTATTGCTCTACCCTTCTACGCGGCTTTTGTGTAGCACGGTCCTGGAGCACTTTCTTAAAGGAAGTAACTGAACGAGATGTTACTCCAGAGCGCCTGGTGGTGGGAAAGACAATGTGTGCATTGATACGGCAGCAGTCACACTGCAGTGACATAATTAGCTTTTTGAATACTGCCTCTTTTACCATTCGACAATAATAAGCTCCATAAAAGCGGGATGCGAGTCCATTTTCTGTGCCTACCACAGGGCCTGGCATATAATACAAATGTAATAAATATTTATTGAAGTGAATAAAAACACAGAAAGGCTAAGTACTCTTACTTCTTGAACTGGATCGAGAAATGTGGGTCCTTTTATTTCCTCTGATAGAAATGGTCTCTCAGCTTAGATACTGAACATAATCATTGTTTTCACTGATTTGTGAAATTAGCATCAGAGAATTTAATTCATGTTATATTGTACTATACAATGTCAGATAATACATTTATTCCATACAGCTTATTCAGATAAGCCTTCTGGTGGGTATTGATCACAGTCATGTAAACCATCATTATCCAAACCTCGCTGGATATCAGAATCAGTTGGGAACTTTTCAGAAAAACCATTTCCTAGGCCACACTGGCATCTGCCAGCAAAGATTCGGGGGGAAGCGGGGAAGGGGGGTGGGGCACACAGGAGCTCAGGGATCTTAAATATCAAGGTGTTTCTGAAAGCTGCCCAGATAACACACATGCTCTGGGTACATGTTAGCCATCTTGGGTCTCCAAGGAGGTGCTAATATAGCCTCTGCCTGAGGCCACCCAGCAGGAGCTACAGAGAGATCTGCAGATTCCTCTTCTTTGGGTTTTGGAGGTGCCCAGATGAGGCCAGCTGTGAAGTAATGCAAGCTGCTGTGGGGCCTCGGGCCTTCTTTTGGATGTTGTAGTTTTGAAGTGGTTGTGCGAGGCAGCATGTTCAGGTGTTTACCTATGCCGCCATCTTGGTTTCTCTTTCAAATAATTTCTTGACTTTTGAAGTTGAGAGTCAGATTAGCTCCTCCCTATAATTGTGCCTATTGTCTGTTTCACATTGTTTTGCATTGGCCAGAACTGCCAGAGTCGTGTCCACCAGTATCTAAGAGGAGGCCTACTTGCCGTGGTCCTGGGTTTAATGAGAATGTCTCTTTCAGATCATGTTAGAGAGCTGTCTTTACTACGTTTCAGTACACACCTTGTCTTTAGAGTTCCTAGTGACTGCACAAACAATGTGGATGCTAAAACTTCAGCGTCTACAGGGAGAAAGAAATAATCACTTTATTTTTCCCTCAGGTCCCTGGGTGTGACACTTTGGGAACTTTTTGATAATGCTGCTCAGCCGTATTGCAACCTGTCCAACTTAGATGTTCTTAACCGGGTCATTCGAGAGAGAGACACAAAACTCCCCAAGCCCCAGCTGGAGCAGCCTTATTCTGACAGATGGTTGGTGACTTCTGTTTCTGTTTTTATACAATAAATGTTACATTTTTTTTATGACTTTTAAAAATAATTGTATATTTTTATAACTTAACATTGTTTTTGAAAAATGTATGGAACAAGCAGGGATTTTTGTATTATTCGCAATAAAAAATGTGAAGTTAGATTTATTTTAAAAGTCAACAGTCGGAGAGTTTGCTATTGCAGAATTGTTTTCACCTGACTGGAATCGATTGCAGAATTGTTTTCAAATGAGGCTGGCTATATAAGTGATATCTAATATGTGAGAAAAAAGATAGCATAAAAATATTTAAATTGGCAGTTGAAATTAATTTGCATAACATAACATATGTTCACATTTGCAAAACAAACATTTCTTACGAGTCTTTGAACCAGTTCTCACTCCATTTCCAATTAGGATCTGTTCACTTCTCTTCAGGCCTCTGTCTAAGCCCCTGCATTGCCCCGAAGCTTGGGGCCTGCCTGTAGGCAGTGCTCAGCTGCCCAGGTTGCTAGAGCCATTGCCCCAGAATAACTGGGCACATAGGCTGTAAGTTTAATATGTGACGCTGTCTCTGCTCATGGTTACCGTCAGCGGTATTGAGCCAGCCCTGGAAGTCCAGCTCCTGGTGCTGCCTTCTTGGGCTTCTTCTCTCTTTTCCCTCCACTTTCAGCTCCGTTTATGGTCTAAAGGAAACCACGTGCTGCAGAAGATTATAGTGTTACTGTTCGTCAGTGAGTAGTGAGATTAGTTACAGCAGCATTTGTCTGTGTGAGTTTTTGCAAAGTAAAGTGAGTAAATCTACAAACTCAAGGCAAGTGCATTCTTTCCACTCAGAATACCCATGGCAATTGTTTTTGAGGACAGCATGTTAAAACTATTCTTTCTGAATTCAGTAACAAGTCCTTGGTTAAACACCAGAGGAACAAATGACAAGGCAACAGAATTGCAGTGATCCTGTGGAATGTCCTGAGAACACAGAAATTAGTGGTCAAACATGTTATTTCTGCATTTCCTCTCACCATGGTCTCACAGGATCTGAACGCCTTCAGGTGGCCAGCAGTGATTCAAGCATAGAGACTTCTGGATGTTGATTTGGCTTAGGGGCTCCTGTAGTCTTCTTATTCTGGAAACTAGAGGCCTGGTGCACAAAAATTCTTGCACTGGGGTGGGGAGGTCCCTCAGCCTGGCCTGCACCTCTCACAGTCCAGGAGTCCTCAGGGGATGTCCTACTGAAGGCTTAGGCCCTCTCCCCATGGGCCTCGTGGGGAGCGGGCCTGAGCCGCAGTCTGGCCTGGCCTCCCTCTGCAGGAGGCAACCGGGCTGGCTGATCAGGATCAGCACCGCCCCATCACCCTGCCACTGCCACCCAGCCTCCCTCTGTGGGAGGCGACCAGGTGGGCTGATCAGGGAATGGTGCTGCTGCGCTGCCCGCGCCCCCCCCCCTCCATCGCTGGTCCTTTCCTCTGCCTGCTGGCACATACCTTGGTGCCACCTGCTCGCCAGCCCTGCCCCCGCTGACTGGTGGTTCTGCTCTTCAGTCAATTTGCGTATTATGCTTTTTTTTTGGGGGGGGGGGGAGTCAACTCTTTTTTTCATTTTGTATTTTTTAAATTTTATTATTATTGTTTTTTTGTTTAAAGTATTACAAATAGTAGTACATATGTCTCTCCCCCCCCCCCCCCCCCCTGATCTTCCCCCGGTCTCCCCTATCCTCCCAGCACATGCCCTCACTCCACCTCCACGGTGTCTTGCTTATATGCATGCATACAAGTCCTTCAGTTGATCTCTTACCTCTCCCCCCGCCCCCAGCCTTCCTGCTGTAATTTGACAGTCTGTTCCATGCTTCTCTGCCTCTGTATCTATCTTTTTGTTCATCAGTTATAATGTTCTTTATTATCCATAAAGGAGTGAGGCCATTGGTTATCAGTCCGTTAACACCCTACCGTGTGTCCCTCAGGTATGAAGTTTTGCAGTTCTGTTGGTTGCCACCAGACAAGCGACCGGCCGCCGAGGACGTGCACAGGCTGCTCACCTACCTGCGCATGCAAAGCCAGCGGGACTCGGAGGTGGACTTCGAACAGCAGTGGAACGCTCTTAAACCGAACACACACACCAGGGACACGACCAACAGCGCCGCCTTCCCCATCCTCGACCACTTCTCCCGGGACCGGCTTGGCCGGGAGATGGAGGAGGTCCTCACTGTGACGGAAACCAGCCAGGGCCTGAGCTTCGAGTACGTCTGGGAGGCGGCCAAGCAAGACCACTTCGATGAGCGCAGCCGGGGCCCCCCGGACGAGGCCTTGTCTTACACGAGCATCTTCTTCCCCGTGGAGGTGTTTGAGAGTTCCCTCTCCGACCCCGGGCCCGGGAAGCAAGACAGCAGTGGCCAGGAGGTCCCTGTGCGAGCCCCGGGCGTGGTTCCCGTGTTCGATGCCCACAACCTGTCTGTGGGAAGCGACTATTACATCCAATTAGAAGAAAAGAGTGGTAGCAACTTGGAGCTCGATTACCCGCCTGCACTGCTCACCACGGAGCTGGAGAACCCCGAGAGGACGCGTGACGAGGCGCCCCAGTTTCTGACGCTCAGGGGCCTGGAGTGTGAGGAGTCCAGTACCGATGAGGATTTCTTCCAGAGCAGCGCAGACCCCACAGACCCCAGCCCCCCTGAGGACGCGCGTGCCGCCAGGGGCCCCGAGAGCCCTTTTAACAGTATATTTAATGATCTGGACAAGTCGGCGGACCTGCCCAGTCACCAAAAACTATTCGACCTGATGGAACTGAATGGAGTTCAGGCTGACTTTAAGCCGGCCACGCTAAGTTCAAGTGTGGATGAGCCCAAAGACTCAGTGATAACAGGCCGCCTGGAGAAAGAGGAGCCCCACAAGCTTTATGACCTTGCGCGCCAAGATCATTTTGATCCACTGAATGTGCAAGAATTGTCAGAAAACTTTCTATTTCTTCAAGAGAAAAACTTACTAAGAGACTCATTGTGTAGCAAAGAACATATAAATGACCTTCAAACAGAACTTAAAAACGCTGGCTTTACGGAAACCATGTTAGAAACTCCACGCAGGAACACTTTAGATGCTGAGTTTACGTTTGCTGAAAACAAACCAGGCTTCTCTTCGCTGCAGGAAAACGTCAGCGTCAAGGGTCCGGAGACGCGGGCTGTGCTCCAGGCCCTTGCTCTGAGCACCTCCGAGCCGTCTTCCCCGGAAGTGCAGGTACCTCCTACCTCCCTCGGACCGGAAGGAACACCTCCCCACGCACTGACAGGGACGTTCCCGAAGCAGGAGGAAACCACGCCCAGGCGTTTAGATGTCGGTGTCCATGACGACTGTCTTGGCCAAGAAGCAGAGGTAGATTCGGTGACTGTCCCGGTTGGCATTCCCTCCACCGATGCTGGCACAGACAGCATGGGCCCTGGGTCCCTCACGCTGACTCCGCCGAGGGAAGAGGCCTCCGGACGGACCCAGAGTGACCCTGCTCTTGTGGGTGACATTGTTGCCAGGAAAGTGAGCATAGAGAGCAGCCTTCCGGAACTGAGACAGCAAAACGAGCCGCCTTCAGAAGACCCTCCCAGGAACGGGCCGCTGGAGGGCAGCCCGGCAGCCGGGGGCGCTCTGCACCAGCTCAGCTGTAAAGATGCCGCCAACGAGGGCGGCCTGGCCCTGTCCTCCGACTCGACCAGCCAGGACAGCCTTCTGGAAGACAGCTTGTCCACACCCATCCCCACTTCAGAGCAGTCGGCGGAGACCCCCGATTCCCTGGACTCCGTGGACGTCCATGAGGCTCTGCTGGGGTCGTTAGGAGCAGGGCAGGAGACACTCCTGCCCCCTGACAAGCCTGCGGACAGCGGGTACGAGACAGAGAACTTGGAGTCGCCCGAATGGACGCTGCACCCTGCTCCCGACGGTGCCTCGGCCTCAGACGCGGCCGCAGCAGGTGACGGCGGTCGTGGCGAGCTGCCTCCCACCCCTGTCATCGTCATCTCAGATGCCGCCGATGGCCACCAGAGTGCCGACCTGGCCGCACACGCCTCTGCCGCTGGCTCTCAGAGCTCCTACCGAGACTCTGCCTACTTCTCAGACAATGACTCCGAGCCTGACAAGAAGTCGGAGGGGGTCCAGGGAACCTCGGTGTCAGCTGTGGCCTTGGTAACGGATCGGCCTCCGCCTGAGCCAGTCATTCCAGAGCCGAGTCCTGGCACCACGGACAGAGGCCTGGAGACCAAAAGCAGCCCGCCAGACCAAAGCTGTCCCTCTGCTTTCCAGAACTCCCGGCTCCCGGCATCGGGAGAAACAGCGCAGCCGGCACTGACGGGCGTTTCCGAGGAGCTGCCTGCGCCCCCAGACGAAGCGGGCAGCCCCTCGAGCGCGTTAAACTCGGAGCTGAGCAGCGGCGATGACTCCGAGGCCCAGGAAGAGCCCCCCTGCACCATCGCCTCCACCGGGACCAACACCCACGAGCTCCTGGCATTCGCCAGTGCCCTGCACCCCGGCAGCCCGGCGGACCAGCCCCTGCCCGGCCACGAGGGCCCCAAGCTGAAGGAGCCGGACGTGGAGGGCAAGTACCTGGGGAAGCTGGGCGCGGCGGGCCTGCTGGACCTCTCCGAGGACGGGATGGACGCGGACGAGGAGGACGAGAACAGCGACGACTCGGACGAGGACCTGCGGGCCTTCACCCTGCACAGCCTCAGCTCCGAGTCGGAGGACGAGGTGGAGCACCCGGTGCCTGTGGTCCTCAGCAGCGACGATGGGCGGCACCTGCGGAGCCTGCTGAAGGCCCCGGCGGCCGCCCCGCTGCCCCAGGGCGGCCGGAGGGAGAAGAAGGCGGTGACCTTCTTCGACGACGTCACCGTCTATCTGTTTGACCAGGTATCTGTTCCTCCCGCCGGTGCACTGGAGGTTCCACAGTGGGGAGGACATTGAGTGTGCCGTTTCCCTCATTTTCATCCTGAGGCTGCGGTTGATCGCTGTTACCGTCCCAAGGATCAGCAGAAGTGCAGTGTGCACAGGGAGCTCCGTTTGCTACGGAGGACACTGCTCTTCCCGGGCTCCCGGCGAGGTCTGCTGAAGTGGTTACCCTTCGCGGCATCGCTATGTCTGACATGGCAGTGAGGCCCGCACGCAGGGCAGTGGGGCAGGCGGGCTCAGCTTAGCTCTGGAGACGCAGCCCCGTGGCAGTGCCTGTGGGGCAGCAGCAGGGTCTGTGGCTCTGCTTTCCTCCTCCTCGCTCCCACCCTCCACCCCTTTCCTGCCCTCCCCTTCTCCCCCCTCTGCCCTCCATCCCCCCTCCTGCCCTCTACTTCCCTTCTGCCCTCCTCCCTGCTCTGCTCCCACCCCCCTCTGCTCTTCCCACTCTCCTGCCCTCCTCCCTTCTCCTGCCCTCCATCCCACTGTGGAGCAGGTGCCCGCTGTGCACCACACAGGTGGGCTCAGACTTTTCCTTCTTTAAAAATGAACCAGCCTATAATTCAGACTTTTAAAAAAAATATTCTCTGTCGACTAGTCTGCATTTGCTTCTTGAATCAGCTAGACTGTGAGGGAAGCTCAGCCACAGGCACATCTGAATGGGACCCTTTATGTCCCAGAAGGCGTGGGGGTCCGTGGCCCTTGTCTCCTTAAAGCACAGCCCGCCTGGTGGGAGTCCTTGGGCTGAGCCTGCGGCCTCTCTCTCAGCTCGGTGCCTCTGAGGCTGCCTTTTCTCTGGCGCGCAGTTCCTCAGACCCACCCCAGCGCAGGACTGACCGTGTGCTCCGGGGGGCGGGTGTGCCGAGACATCAGCATCCACCTGCCGGGGGACAGCTGGGCTTTCCCACTCTGCCTAATTGTGTGCAGGTTTTAGTGGACACGGATGGGGGGGTGGGGGTTTGGGTGCTAGGTTGTATGTAAGCGTATGTTCAGTTGTTTAAAGAAAAGAACCTTTTCCACAGAGGCAGAGTGGGGAGGTTCAGGCTCTCTCTGTCTCTGCAGTGTTTGGTGGTGGCACTGTCTTTCCCGTTAGCTAGCAGCCTCAGCCGTGATCTGACTCCGTTTCCCGGCGGCTGGCCAGGGCGGCTGCACGGCTCTCGTTTGCCGTCTGCGTCCTTTCAGTGACGGGTCCCCTCTTTTGCCCATTTTCTTACCTGGATTCTCTGTGTCTTGAGTTTTGTTTGGATTTTTAATAAATTCTAGATATGAGACGTTTGTCAGATCCATGGTTTAGAAATATTTCTCCCAGTCTGTAGGTTGTCTTTCACAGAGCAAAAGTTTTAAATTTTGGGAGACTTCCATTTATCACTTTTTTTATAGATCGTAATTTTTTAAAAGATGTTTTTGCTGATTTCAGAGAGAGGAAGGGAGAGGGAGAAAGAGATAGAAACATCAATGAAGAGAGAATTCATCCATCAGCTGCCTCCTGCACGCCCCCTCCTGGGGATTAAGTCTGCAAACTGGGCAAGTGTCCTGACTAGGAGTCGAACTGTGACCTCCTGGTTCCTAGGTCAATGCTCAACCACTGAGCCACACTGGCCAGGCTCATACTTTCGTTATGTCTAAGTACCCTTCACCAACCCCTAGATCCTGAATATTTTCTCATAAGTTTTATGTTTACATCTGTTTTACATTTGAGTTGATTTCTGTGTAAGGTTGAGTTTGGGTTCATTGTTGTATGTTTGGATGTGTGTTGAGAAGACTGATCCCTGTCCATTGAACAGCCTTTGCACTTTTGTCAGAAATTAAATGACCAGATCTCTCTAGGTCTGTAACTGAACTTGTTGTTCTGTTGCGCTGACTTGTGTATTTGCCTCTTTGCCAGGACCTCACTCCTGTGACTAAATCTTAAAATCAGGGGGACGATTCCTTTATCACTTTTCTTCCTTTTTAAAATTACTTTGGCTTCTACAGTTCCTGTAATTTGCCGGAGAGATTTTAGAACCAGCTTGTCTGTAGCTGCAAACAGAAATCCAGCTTGGATTCTGATGGGAATCGCATGGGGCCTAAGGCGCAGCTGGGGGAGAAGTGCCGTCTGCACTGAGGGGACTCCGCTGTCTTCCCGCTGGTCCTTCAGAGCCTGGCAGGGCGTTCTGCTTGCTTTCAGTCCGCACCCGAGGGACGCCGCTGGCCTCGTAGAGAAGCCGGGCAGCATTTCTCTTTAAAGAGATTGTGTAGACTCATTGATCTTTTTTAAGAACTGCTTTTGATTTCATGGAGTGTTTTTTATTCATTATTTTCTTTTCAATTTTATTGATTTTTGCTGTGTCATTATTTTCTTCAGTTGCTTTAGATTTATTTTGCTTTTCCTTTTCTAGACTCTTAAGGAAGACACTTAGGATGTAAAACCTTTTCTTTCTAATAGCATTTCATGCTATGAATGTCCCTCTATGTACTACGTTAGCTGCACCCCACAAATTTTAATGTTGTATTTTCATTCCGTTCACAATATTTTCTAGTTTTCCTCAAGGCTTCCCGTGACCCTCAGATTATTTATACACGCGTTAGTTTTTAAGCCTTCGTGGGTTGGGCGTTCTCTCGTTTGCTGTGCTGTTGGAACTCAGCACCCTGCATTGCAAAGGGCCCTGGGATGAACAGAGCTCAGAGCTCTTGTTCTGCTTCTGGAGGGGGCAGGAGGGGTGTTCTGCCAGAAGGGGGAGAAGTTCCTGTTTATTCGCTTTCTCTCGTCCAGCCCGGCAGTCCCAGGGTGGCAGCGATAGGGGTGCCCGGCTCCGTGGCCATGAGGGGCCGAATGTCCTCCCCCCAGAGGGCCTGTGTGCCCGGAGAGTGAGGAGCCTGGCTCTCCGTTCTCACTGCTCCCCTGCGAAGGATGTAGCGTCGGGGGGGACACCAGAGCCCCCGCTTTCTGGCCAGAAAGCCACACTAGGAAGGCCCAAGACACCCGAGAGGACCGGAGACCCCGAGGCCCTCAGAGGCCGCCATCGAGTGCTTTCTGAGCTCTCGCTGCCTCCAAGTGCGCCTGGCAGAGCTGCCTGAACAGCGCGCTGAGCCCTGGATGGAGCTGTCGGGGACCGCTGCTCCCGGTCCCGTCTGGCCAGGGCGGCACACGCACAGGACAGGCTCGGGAGGCCAGCCAGGGCTGCGGTGCGGGGTAGGGGAAGGGGTGAGTTCACTGCTGTTTGGTATCTGAATTCCGGCTTCATCCCAGCCAGCCTGCTGCTGCTGCTTCTCAGAGGCCCCGCGTAGCTGCTCCGTGCACTGGGCCCGGGCTGTGTGTTCCTGCCCCCGGCCCGGGCCCAGAAGCCGCTCCTGTGGAGGAGCCTGTCACAGCCGGCCGGAGGCCCTCCCTGACGGCTCTGCTGTCTTTGCAGGAGACGCCGACCAAAGAGCTGGGGCACTGCGGGGCGGAGGCGCGGGCCCCTGAGCGGGGCGGCCCGGTGCCGTCCTCGGACGCCCCCTACCTGAGCAGGTGCATCAACTCCGAAAGCTCCACCGACGACGAAGGTATTTCCCCTCCCGGCGGGTTAAACAAAGCGAGCGAGTGCGTGAGTGTGAGCTTGTGGCGATGGCTGCACTGCGGGGGTAAAGGACCGAGACACACCGCCTGCTGGCGCTGCTGTGTTTGCTGTTCTATCGCCAGCGATCCCAGGAGGCGATGCCTCTCGCTCTCCCGTAGGTGGAGGCTTCGAATGGGATGACGACTTCTCCGCAGACCCGTTCATGTCCAAGACAACGAGCAACCTGCTCAGCTCCAAGCCGGCTCTGCAGGCTTCCAAGTACTTCTCGCCGCCGCCGCCCCGGGGCGCGGAGCAGAGCTGGCCCCAGCCGGCGCCCTTCTCCCGCTTCTCCATCTCGCCCGCCAGCATCGCCAGCTTCTCCCTCACACACCTCACCGACTCGGACATCGAGCCCGGAGGTGAGCGGTGGCGGTGGGTCCCGGGAGACCGTCCCCGTTCCTGAGTGCGCGCTAACCTGCGGCTTTCCTGGCGGGAGGGTTAGGGACAGCTCTCCACGCAGCTGGCGGGGCCACATCCCCCCCTCCCGACCCGGTATCCGGGGCTCGGTACTCTGCAGGCATCCCCTCGCTGCCCCCACCGGCTGGCCCCGTCTCCTGTTCCTCCTCTTCAGAAGGCTGTGCTCTTAGGAACACTCGGCCCAATTTTGGGATTGAGCCCAAATTCACCCTGGTTTCCCCCAGGAATGTTGATTTTGCCATTAAGTCTTGGTCCTCGTGCGGTACCAGGGGCTGGGTGGGAAGTCACGGGCAGGGCACATTTGAAGTTGTATTATCTGAACATATGGACCCTTTTTTCCCCATAACTAGATCGCAAGATAAAGGTTAAGAGGTACATTCTTTATTTGAAGTTTGCAGATCAAACAATAACTGGGAAACATAAAGAGCTTCTGTTTGTGTTTGTGCTGCGCTTAATTGTGCCGATTAGATAGCGCACAGGCCCTCACGCCTGGCGGAGGCAGATGTGTGCCGCCACGGCTCTCCTCGCCCTCGGCCTCGGCCTGGCATTGGCCGGCGTGGGAGCCGAGCAGCTGTGCTGCCTGGGAAGGCACGGGGGCGCGGCAGGTGCCTTGCCACCCGGGCACCTCATCCCGGGTCCTGCAGGCGGATCCGCTGTGCCCGGCTGTTTCTGTCGGGGACGCCACTGTAACCGCCCTGCTTGCTCTCCCCCAACAGGAAGCAGCGAAGACGGAGAGAAGGATTAGGTGGACGCTGATGCATCTCAGGTTCCAGGCTGCTTCCCCGCCCGCGGGCCTGTGCTGCCACCGAGAACGCCATCCACGGATGTCTGCTGAGCGGGACAGGAGACCCGGGAGGCGGAGCGGAGCCAGCCCCGGGCCCGGGCTGGTACCCAGGCAGGAAGCCTGTCTGGGCAGCCGGGTCCCGTCCCGTGTGGTTCGCTGCCCTGGCAGCTGGGCGCCCGCAGCCCCTCTCACCATAAAGACACCGGGCTCCGGTCTGCCGTGGGGAGGGCTGGCGCTCCTGGTGCGTGTGGCTCCCGGCTGTCACTGATCCCCGCGCGGGGCTCTCTGTGCCCACACCCGGCACCCGTCTGCGCACAGGGGCTCCGGGGCACCGGAGCCTGTGTGTTCCGTGTAAGCGATCACTAACTGCTGCTTCATTGCACTGTGGGTGACCATTCTAGAGTCCCTGATTCTGTACAGAACCTTAAGTTATTCAAGGAAAATACGGCAGGTCAAGCTGGTGCTGCCACTGGCTTGATTTCCTGGTTGTGTTATAGTTAATTTGCCTGCATGGTACTTGTACAGCTTAAGCATTTGAGTGAGTGCAGTCCTCAGAGTGGCTGGAGCTGTAAAGCTGGCTCCCTTCCGTGAACGACCACTGATCTGAACGTTAGAGCTTCGTGTCCTCATAGGAAACGCTTGAGTCCCGAGTGGCTGCTCCTGGGCGATCGGCCGGAACCTGCTGTCTCCTCGACACGGTGGTTTCCTGGGCGGGGCGGCCTCTCTGAGGAGCCGAGGGCCCTGCAGCCTCTCTGATCCCCCTCTACCCCTGACTTTTAAACCCTTTTGGTAAACACCAACAGGTGGCACACCCCAGAACTGAGTGCTGGCTAGCTGGGCGGCCCCGGCCCTCCCCCAGAGGCACCCCCTCCGAGCCCGCGCCGTCACGGACACCTGCTGTGGTGGCCGGGTCCTTGAACTCCTTCCGCGGAGAGCGGACCGGAGGGAGGAGCTGCTCCCGGGCTCTGTCTGTGAACACCGGCCTGTGGCCGTGAGCTCTCACAGCCCCGGAGCTGATTCCCCTCACAACCCTCCAGGCGTGTCCCGTCCGGGAGATGCCCATACGCCACCGCAGCTGAGGAAGGAGGGACAGGGACAGGGCGAGGCCCCCACAGCCAGCTCATCCTCCTGGCCGGAAGCTGGGCAGCCCTGCCTGGTCATTCACCCAGAGGCTGCCTCGGGGCGCCCTGCACTGACCCTCCCATCGCACTCAGCCCAAGTCCCCCTTCCTGGAGAAGAGCCAGTGTGCAGTGTGAACCATGCTGCTGGCCTCTCAGCGGGGAGTTCCCGGGCCCGAGCAGCGCTGAGGGGGCTCGGCGGTCCGTCCTGAGCCAGGGCTGTGGCCCCACAGGCTGCCCTCCTCGCTGCTCTCGCTGCTGATGTGCTTTCCCGGCTCCAGCCCGGGGCCCGGGATCTGAGTCACAGGAACCGTCCGAGGGCGAGAGGCAGATGTGGACGCTGGCTAGTTTCCGTAGTAAATGTTGGTCCTTATTACCAATTCTGGTTCACTCCACTAACTTTTATACTAGCAGTGACGGTCCAGAGCGAGAGACTTTGCCCCCCTCTTGCTGTGAGCACAGGTCACCGCAGGGGGAGGGGGGGTTGGTGTAGCCAGGGGCGCTGATGGGAACCGGACCCTGTGGAGGGCACTTTGAAAAGTTGACAGGGCATTAGAAGGTGATTTTTCCAAAGTTGCCAAACTCTGAGTTTCTTATGGAGACTTCCTGAGCTTTCTGAATTTTTACATCTAACTACCAGCTTGGTTTAGCGAGAAATAAGACCATTATACTAGTTTTTTTCAAAGTATAGGTTTAAAGGGTTCAGACTTAATGACTAAAACCAAGCCAATCCATAGAACATATAGTCTTCTTATACAGTCAGCCCAGGCTAAATCTGATATTTTGGGTTGACCATTTTTCACTATGATTAAGGAGATTTTAACATTTTAATTTATTTTAAGTCTGTGTCGCTCTCATAATTAATTGCCAAAAAGGCATTTTATACATTGAGTTGGGGGGGCGGGGGAGTTGGAATAGATCTTACTGTGGGGTTGCATGGTGGGGAATATTTTATATTTATAATGAACACATGTGTGAACATGTTCTTTTGAAATCTCAAGCAATATGCAGGAAATAAATCATGTACACTAAACTTTAAACTTCTCAGCCCATTTTTGAAATGTCAGTGTGTGCTCTGTTTCATTTTTTGTTTTTACTGGGTTGTCTACCCACAGTGGGTTTTCAAGCAGTACTTGTCTGGTAAGCTATGCTGTGAACAAGTCAGTGCTTCTCCAGGGAATGCGGGCTCCCTGACTCCCTTGGGATCGATCAGGTCTCAGTTCGATTAGTCCTACTTTGGTGGAGTTTAATCCCGCAGATAACCTGACCTTCATTTCCTTCCTAGCTCGCTGCTCACTGTGTATCAGTGACGGTTGTCAGTCAGAGAGAATGTAGGAAAAGCGCTCCCGGATCCTCTGAGACACGGACTGTGGTCTGGGAAGAAGCCATTCATCGTAAGGATGAAGCACTCAGCAACGCTGAACTGAAAACTCTATTTTTACGTGTGGTTTCTATAGAAATGGGTTTACCTAAGACCAGTCTTTGTACGTCTTGCTGCCGTGAGACACCGTTAAAAGCCTCTTAGTTTCATGCCCACAGGGTGTTTGCAGGGTTAATGACTTCACTTGCCCTGAGGGCCCAGGTGTGGGATGCAGCTCCCGGCTTACCTTGACTCAGCTGGTCTCTGAAAATTCCCGAAGTGGGCCGGTCAGGGGCTGTAAGACCTGAGCCATCTGAGCAATAGCCTTAGAGGAAGAATGCTGCTGTTCTTCAGATCCGAATCTCAAACCATCTTCCTAGGTTGTGACGGGGTTGGCTCAAGTGTTGACTGTTAAAAAGAAAGTTCTCATTAACGTGTAAGTAAATCCTTAAAGGTGTGTTGACAGTATTGAACCACCACCAGCCGTAGTTTGAACAGCTGGACGTGTCTAGTAGGCCTCAGTGGGCATCCACTGTCCAGTCCGCAGAGGAGGACCGAGGGGCAGTCACACCTGTGCGCTTCCCTTACAGTCGCAAGCGTTACCTTCGCGGCAGTGTAACAGTGGAGGGACTTTCAGTTTAAATTGTGTACATTTTTAAATTGTAAGATTTTTACTGTATATTGATGCATAGTGTGATTCAATAAATTGCTTGTAATTTAAAAACTATTTAATATTCAAAATAAATAGTTATATATTTATAAACTCTGTTGCTGTGTTTATTCTGTAATTCGAACACGAAAGACCCTGGGCAGGCAGCTGGCACGGCCCTGGTCTCCTCCAGATGCCCTTTTCGCCTTCACCTGCCTTTGTGCGGCCTTCGTGTGTGTGCAATCCTCGGCCTGGATGCGTTTCAGGAGCATTTTGGTGCCTGAGGTCCAGCATCCAGTGAGCCCCAAACCAAGAGGCCAGTCAGCTCCAGACCAGCCTTTCTGAGCCCTGAGTGGCCTTATCCCCATCGCCGGTCCTCGCTCTCCTGGTCCCAGCTGCCCAGAGCACCCAACAGGCTCTTGGCCAGACTGCCCACACCGGGCCCCACCTCCGTTTCTAACGACTCCCATGTGAGCTCAGGGAGCGGATGGAGACCTGGGGCCCCCTTCAGAGATGCCTGATCCTGCGGGGGTGGGGCACCGGCCCCCGGGCCTCACTGCGCTCCGGCGCCTGTGCTGCGGGGGAGGCCGGTGCGGGCCAGTCAAGCACGTGGGGGGCTGGACCCCAGCTGCCTGCTGCTCCCCCGGAGACCTAAAACCGGGACCGGTTATTTCCCGGCGACATGCACGAAGGCGCGCCCAGGAGCTCCGGGGCAGGGCCCTCCCCTGGCGCCCGGGCCGCCGGCGGGCGGGGGTGGGGGTGGGGGTCCCCCGGAACTGGGGCTGCTTCCCCTGGAGGACCTGGCCGCTTCCCGTGTGGGACATGGGCCTTATCCGCGGCTCCTCCGCGAATTCCCCAGACGCGCTGAGCCTGAACCCCAAGGTCAGGTGCGGCCCCGGGGCCGCCCCGCTTCCTCTCCGCCGCGGGCTCGGGGGCCTGTGTCCCGCCGCGGCCGGGCTCCCCAGGTGCGCGCCGCCCCGCCCCGCGGCCCCGCCCCGCCCGCCCCGCGCTCATTTACATGCGGCCGGGCCCCGCCTGGGGCGGCTAAAGCGACGTGTCCTTGTCCCCCGTGGACAGCCCGGCGCGTGCGACCGCTGGTCCCCAGGTAACGGGGCTGGGGTCGGCGGTGGGGGAGCCGCGGGGAGAGGCCCGGGGGCAGGGCCAGGTGGGGTCCAGGGAGGAACCTGGGGGGGAGGTCTGGGTGCAGAGCCCTGACTGGGACCCCTGCAGCTTAGCTCGGGAGGGGCGGGGGGGGCTGCTGCAGGCGCCGGCCACTGCTGACCTCTGCTGACCCTGACCCTGACCCCGGTCCCAGCGGCCGGCCCAGAGCTGTCCCCGCAGGTGACATGGCCGGGCCGTGCAGGCAGTGCGGTGGCCGGAATCGGTGCTGTGGGTCCGGCACGCGGGAGGCAGGGCAGTCTCAGGCAGAAGAGCGCCCTGAGCTGGGAGGGGGTGACAGCCCTGGGTGGCCTGACCCCTAGACCAGGAGGCACCTGGGGCAGCGAGAAGCAGCGGCCAGAGAGAAGTCCGGGGCTCAGGACGCCTCCCTCAGGGGGAGAGGGGTCCCCATGAGATCAAACGGGAACAAGGGGGTGTGTGGGATCAGCTCGAGGCTCCGTGTGTCCATGGGAAGCAGCCTGGGGTCACTGAGCACCAAGCGGCCAGCGGGCAGCGGCCAGCGAGGAGGCTGCTGCGGGCAGCGGCCCTGAGTGCCCGCTGGCTGTTCCGAGTGTCCACCGGCCACCGAGTGACCAGGGGGGGCCTGTGTTCTGGATTTCAGCTCCAAGGGCCCCTCAGAGCCACCACCCCCGGGACAACCGGTCTGGAGCCATGAAGACCAAGAGCCGGCCCCCCCGGCGCCGGGCGCCCCCGCAGAACACAGAGGCCCCCCCGGGGGAGCAGGCCCCCGAGCGGCCCCAGCCGGCCAGGGGCCTGCGGAGCAGGACGGCGCGGGCGCAGGGGGCGCGGGCCGAGGGCGGGCGCCGGCGGCCGGGGCCGGCGGGCCAGGCGGGCCGGCGGGAGAGCAGCGTCCAGCGGCGGCTGGAGAGCAACGAGCGCGAGCGGCAGCGCATGCACACGCTCAACAACGCCTTCCAGGCGCTGCGCGAGGTCATCCCGCACGTGCGCGCCGACAAGAAGCTCTCCAAGATCGAGACCCTCACGCTGGCCAAGAACTACATCAAGTCGCTGACGGCCACCATCCTCACCATGTCCAGCGGCCGCCTGCCCGGCCTGGAGGGGCCCGGCCCCAAGCTCTACCAGCACTACCAGCAGCAGCAGGCGGCGGGGGCCGCCCCGGAGGCCCAGCCCGAGGGCCACCTGCACAAGTACTCCACCCAGATCCACAGCTTCCGCGAGGGCTCCTAGCCCCCGCCCAGCCCGCCGAGCCCCCGTCCCCCGTGGGGCTGTGGCTGTGGCCCCAGCAGCCTCACCGTCCCTCAACACTCCGCTGCCTCCTGGGCGGAGCGGTGGCCCCGGACCGTTTTTTCCATTGACCAGGCGGGAGCTGACAGGCCTTCGTAGGTAGATTCCCTTCCCTGCAGGCTCCCTCCTGAAGCCGGGGAGGCCCAGGGAGAGGGGACCTGGGTACGTGTCCCCAGTCCTCCTGAAGCCCAGGCCCAGGAAGGGACCGCCTGCAACCTGCACCAGAGCCTCCTCATTCGGGTAAACTGAGGCACAAAGCAAGTAAAGCTCAGGGCCACTTGGGGAGTGTGGCCGAGCCACAATGGCTGAAGCGAGTTCAGCATGTTAGACAGGATCCCTCATCGTACGACCTCATGTGAACTGGAAAGGGACCTTCCGAGGTCCCGGAGGCCGATCTTTTCCTGCCTCCCCTGAGCCGGGGCTCCTGACGGGAGGGGCTGGGGGGCCGGAGGGGCTGTGCTGGTGCTGAGGGGCTGGGGCAGGATGGGAGGGGCCACGAGGCTCCACTCCGCTGGGGGCTGGGCCTCTCAGCCCTGGCCCTTCGGGGAGGGAGTGCCCCTGGCCTCCCTCGGGTCCCCCCAGGTTTGCTGCTCGTTGTCACAGTCGGGCTGACTGTGTGGTCTAATAGGACTTTAGGATGCTGGGTCCCGCTTGGGGTTCGGGGCCCTCTTGGGAGAGCCTGGGTGGCAGGAGCGCCCTCCCCCACCCGAGGCTGCTCTGCAAAGACGGGCTGGCATGTTGGCAGGTCTCCGCAGCCAAGGGCCAAGCTTCCTCCTGCGTTCCTGCCCCGCGGCTGCAGCAGGCTTGGCGACTTTGTCCTCCTGCCCACAGCCAGCGTGGGGAGGGGGCAGGGCCCTTGGCAGCCTCGGGCGGAACCACAGTGACAGGGGCTGGGGTGAGGGTAGAGTTGGCCTGGCATGCGGGGCCCAGTCCCTGTCCCAGATCTCTGCCGGCCCCCTGGGCTGTAGACGGGGGAAGGCTGGGCTGAGTGGCGCTGTGCAGCCCAGGGCTCGTTCCTGCTGTGCACCCTCAGTCCCAGCCCCGGAGGGCAGGGCCCAGCCACTTACTGCAGCCCTGGCATCGGGGAGCGGGCGGCACCCTTCCCAGCCGGGGTCACTTACCTGGTCAGACACTGGCCGGCCCTCGCTCGGCCCCAGTGCAGGCCCCTCTGGAAGGTGGCCCCAGGAGGCCCGATGGGCCCCGGCCCGCCGTCCCCGCCAGCCTCCGGCATCTGCCAGGTGCGGCCCACGCACGCCTGACTGCCCTCAGGCGCGGCTGCTTGGGAAGGTGCGTGGTCAGGACAGCCCACCAACGGGACCTGAGGTTGAGAGCAGCTCCGAGCTTGGGACAGGAGGGGTCCAGGCGACCCCTGCTGAGGATGGCCCGCTGGCTGACCAAACAGGTGAGGCCCGCAAACCTGGTGACTCTTGTCCTGGCTGAGCCGAGGCCAGAGCAGGGCTCAGTCCGCCCCTGAACTTGCTGAGGGAACCCACAAACTGAGCTGGGAGCACAGGGGGGTGCCCAGCGGAGCCCTCTGTCTGGGAGAGCGTGCCGGGCGCAGAGGGCCTGCGCCACTGCCTCACAGGACACCCGTGGGGGCTCTTGCTCTGGGTCCAGACGCGCATCTGCACCTCCTGCTCCCGCCCCGCCCACGTCCAGTCCTTCACCAGAGGCCGGAGGGCACTCGCATGCCCTGTGGCCAGTTACGGATTTTTAAAGACCTCAGTTCCGCTTTGGGGGTTAAATATGGGGGCGCGAGGGAACAGGCCTGGGGAGAGGCCTGCTGCTGCGTCTGCTCCCTCGACCCTCACTGTGGGCCCAGAGCCCAGCGGGACCCAGCTGTCCTCCGAGGAGCCCGGCGCCTGGCCACGACCGGGGCCGCGGACCTGCCTGCAGACCAGACGGCTCCCGAGGCGAACGCCGTGGAGCAGACCAACCAGAACTTCCGCTTCTCCGCCTGCACGGCCCAGGCTGTAATTGCGGTGAAAATGTTTCTTAAATGACCCACATTTGGCTTTCATTTTCCCTAATGGCCCCTTCAAAGTACTCAGGAGACTGATGTTGTGCCACAGAATGAAAATAAGAGTTCACAGCACTTTGCATTACACATGGGGAACCGTGTTGTACACAGAACTGTAGCAAAAAAAAAAAGTCTCGCCACTCACACGCTGGTGTACGTTTTAATTGAATAAAGCGTCTGGGACCCAAGATGGTTCAGTGATGCTGAGCAGGTAAACAGTCGGTGCTCAGCAGTGAGGAAGGACAGGGTGAGACCAGCCAGCGGGAGTCACAGCGAGGGGGCAGCAGCTGCTGTAGATTGAACCGTAATGCCCAGGCAGACCCTGACAAGGAATGTAAACAGACCGAGACCGGGCCCTGGGCCCAGACGCACGCCTCCTGGTCCCACCTGCAAACGCAGAGGCTGCTGGCACCCGCCATGTCCCCGGGGAGGCCCCCGAGGGAGGTGCGGAGCCTCCTGCCAGCGCGGGGAAGCCCCTGGGAAGGGCTAAGTGGTCCCGCTCCATCGCCCAGCCGGCTTCCGCCCGGGGCAGGGGGGGCCCACGTGCCCGGCTGCTCTCAGGTGCGGCTTCTCAGGACAACCCACCACGGGACTGAGGCTGAGAGCAGCTCCAGATCTGGACTGGGTGTAGGAAGCGAACGGGGGACTTCACCAACTGGGGCGTCGTCGGGTAAAAAGCAGCCAGAAGCTGCGGGACAGGAGGGGGTGCTTGGGAGGCGCCCTCCACCGCCTGGCTGGGCCTCGGTCTCCATCCCTGCCCCTCCCGCAACATGATCAGAAGTAAACGATGCCCCAGCCCCCGGCCCATCCTGAGAGGGCCAGCTGAGCATTCCAACCACTCCTCCCAGGCCCCCGGTCCTGGCCCCCGCGGGGCCCATGCCCACCTGGGGAAGGGACACCTCCCCAGCATTTGTCTTGGACCTGCCAACTCCGCCCCTGACCTTCGGAATGAGACTGTATCTGCAAGTCCCGTGCTGAGAACGGCCACAGCGTGAGCCATGGCCCCGAGCCCTCGGCCGCCTCTGGTTTGGACCCCTGGGCCCGGGGGCTCTTGGTGGGCTCGGCTCCCCCAGGGGCCAGCCTTCCTGGAGGCTCCAGGCTCCCGGTTCCCGCCCGGGGAGGCCGGGAGGCCGAGGGGAATGGACAATGGGAGAGGCCGGTGAGGGCGCCCCTCCACAGGGGCAGTGTGGGGAGCGTACACAGGCTTCACATTTCCGGGCTGTTCTGGTGCCTGAGCTGTGACCGCAGGCCAGGTCCCCGCACGCCAGCCAGGACCGGCATCTCAGCACAGAGGCTCACTCCGAGGGAAGGCTCACCGGTCCGCGCCGACTCCTCAGATGGCACCACCAGGTGGGGAGGGGCCTCAGCAGCAGACGGGGCCCACGGCTTCCTGCAGGGTGCCGGCCGCACTGGAGGGCCCGCGGGGGAGGCCCTGCCCTCCAGCCGTCTCCTGGGCGGTGCTCCTGGGAGCCCTGGTGGCGTTGGCCCGGACGGAGATGTGGTCCCAGCCCCCCTGAGGGCGAGAGCTGCGTCACCGGGGCCGCAGGGGGTGGAGGGCAGAGGCCCAAGGACCCCTGAGGGACTGCCCGGTCTCCCACCAACCCCAGGCCAACGGGGAGCACGCACACCCAGCGGCCATCCCCGCTCGCTTACCCCGATGCCGTAGTCCCAGCCCTGCCCCTTGGGCTCCAGGGGCTGCACGCCGGTGCGGTGACACACGGTGCCCTGGCTCAGGCTGTGGCTGCCCTGCACTTTGTTGGCGATGACCCACACCTAGAACACACACCTGTTGAGGCCCAGCCCGGCCGCGGTGGCACCGTGGGGGCAGCAGTGGGGAGACCAGAGCAGGACCCGGAGCCCCCGAGGTCCCCACCCCACAGCGAGCATCAGACCTGGTCCAGGGGCCCCACGGACACACGGCGCACGTTGTTGGACACGTGCTCCCAGCTGGAGCCCTGCGGGTAGCTGGGCGTGACCCCCTGGCGGTACCACAGGTTCCCTGGGGAGACAAGGGGTGACCACGGTGAGGCCCAGGGCGTCGGGACCCACCGCAGGGCCTGCGAAGCCAGTGGTCCGACCCCTGCTCCCCCCGCGTCCCCACAGCGGGAGAGGAGCCCAGAGGACAGCTCTGCCCTCCCCACACCCGGTGCCGCCGGGCTGGGCTGGCATCCTACCCTGCTTTCTACGCATGAGAAACTGAGGACAAGGAATTCTTTACAGACAGGACGGCCTGGAACTGGGTCCCCGGCCAGTCCCCGCCCTTCCTTCCCTCGGCTGCACGGCAGGACTGGGAGGGTCACAGGGGCCATGTGGCCTCTGCTCCCCCGTGCCTGTCGTGGGGCTCGCAGGTCACAGGCCCCGTTCACAGCGTCACCCAGGCCGTAGCCTGTGCCCTCGCCAGGCAGGGCTGACCAGTGGGACAGGGCCGGGCCCCCACCCTGGGGAGCGTGGGGGGGATCTGTTTGGAGGCTGGCCTCGGCCTCTCCTGGTGGCTTACGAAGGCCTTGTGTCAGGGACCTGGAGCTGGTGAGGGTGTCATCACATCGGGGGGCTCAGGGAACCCCAACACCCCTGGTGACCACGGGGGACCAGGCCACTTGCCATTCTCATCCACGGCGTACACGGACGTCTGGCCCACAGACACCTGCTTCAGCCTCTGCTTGGCAGGGGGCGGGATGTGGTACCAGCAGTCACCTGCAGGGGGAGGGCGGGCGTGGGTGTGCCCGGGAAGCACCGAGCCTGCGACCCCAGGCGCTTGGGCCCATGGCCGCCTCCGCGGCTCCCAGGTGGGTGGGGGGCACTGGCCGTGCCCCGCTGACCTCCAGCACCCTGGCCTCTGCAGGCCCCAAAGAGGCCGGGGCAGGTTCCAGACGGGGCTGGAAGGGCCGGTCTCACAGGCACACCGGTGCCCAGCCTGGCGTGTGGGCAAGAGCCGGCCCTGCAGCTGCTGTGCAGGCCCAAGGCCCCGTGTGGACAGCACGACGCACCTGCCACCACCTCTTCATCCGTCCGCCCGCTGCTGCCCTCCCCGGCCGGACACTGTCCAGACATCCGGTCAAGGACACGCCGGCCTAGCTGTCCTCCGGGGAGTGGCCACTTGGGAGTGGGCCGAGCGGAGCCATGCCAGGAGGGGCCCAACCGGCGGGACCCTGGCGGGCAGGACCTGCAAGGCACCCAGCAGTGCCACCACCAGCTGCCCTGGCAGGAGGCCAGGAGGGTGAAGTGCAGCTGCGGGCAGGGCTGTGTCCTCGGGATCTGGCTGTGCCAGCAGCGGGCCGCAGGCTGCTTTGGCCACGTGTGTGCTGAGCGGACGGGAAGCCAGGGCCGCAGCAGCCTCCGCGCACGGAAGCCTGCAGCCTCGCCCATACCCTCCCTCCCGGGCGGCGGCACTCACCAGCCGGCTTGGCGGGGGACACGGAGCCCCGGTAGAAGGCAGAGCCGTCCCTCGCCACGGCCCACACCTGGCAGCAGCCCCCGATGGAGACGGAGGCGAAGGGCTGGTCGGTGCCCACGTGCAGCCAGGAGGCGCCCTGGAGACCGAGCGAGGAGGCGCTGAGGGCTGCCTGGCCCAGCCGCTGCCACCCCAGCCCCGGGTCCGGGAGCTGGCAGTTCCTCTCGCCAACCTCATCCTCGGTGCCAACTGCCCACAGAGCTGGTGACCCCTGGGCAGGCCCATGCCTCGCCTGACTCCGCAGCCGGAGTCCTATTGCTGGAACAATCTGTCGGAACCCCGAGCGTGACCACAGGTGGGCAGGCCGGCGGCCCCCAGGGGCAGGGCCGGTGCTCACCGCGGGGTTGAGCTCGGACACTCCCAGGCGGCACAGCACGTCCCCCTTGTCGCTGACGGCCCAGAGTGCGATGCCGGGCCCGCGCTCGGCGGCGCCCGGGCTCTCGGGGACGATGGACACATCCCTGAGGGCGATGGGGGGCACTTCCAGCCAG